GATCGCCTAACCGGTGGCATTTGCTCCTCGAACTCAGCGCAGCCGGTCTCACAGCAGCAGCAGCAGCAGCAGCAACATCCCTCGCAGCAGCAGCAGCAACAGCAGCAACGTCGTCTGCCACCAGCGCCCGTTGGCAGCAGTGCAGCTCTGAGGAACGAGAGCTACTACATGGCCACCAATGACAACTGGTCGCCGGCGCAGCTGCATTTGCTCACTGGCCATGGCAACACGGCCCTGCTCATCGAGGACGATGCCGAGCCCATGTCGCCGTAAGTTAACCAACATTAACATCTTAATGCCAGCTAACTACATCTCATTTTTGAAACAGAACCTTGCCGTCGCGTCAGCACGATGGGCAGCACTGCAACGCGAGCAGTGCCAATCCATCACAGAATTTGGGCGCCGTTGGCAATCAGCAGGGGCAGGGACAGGGACAGGGACAGGGGCAGGGGCAGGGGCCAGGCGTCGTCGTGGCCAATCCCGTGGTGCCGGGCACTCCGTCGACGTCCAGCACTTTCGATGCCACCTACTCGTCGCAATTGAGTTTGGAGACCAACTCGGGAGTGGAGCACTTCTCACGCGATGCCCTGGGACGTCGCAGCATCTCGGAGAAGCACCATGCGGCGCTGGATGCCCGTGAAACTGGAACCTACCAGCGGAACAAGAAGTTGCGCGAGGAGCGGGAACGCGAGCGCCGCATCCAGCTGACCAAGTCGGCTGTGTACGGTGGCTCCATTGAATCCCTCACCGCCCGCATAGTCAGTGCAAATGCCCAGTTTTCGGGCTATAAACATGCCAAGACGGCATCCAGTATCGAGCAGCGGGATGCGCAGCAGCAATTGGCCGCAGCTGCGGAGGCGGAGGCCAGGGATCAGCTGGGTGATCTGGGCCCCTCGCTGGGCATGAAGAAGTCCTCGTCGCTGGAGTCGCTGCAGACGATGGTGCAGGAGCTGCAGATGTCGGATGAGCCGCGTGGCCACCAGGCATTGCGGGCTCCGCGTGGGCGTGGCCGGGAGGATAGCCTCCGGGCGGCGGTTGTCAGTGAGCCGGATGCAAATAGTGAGTTTAACTTTATACAGCAGCTGCGGTGAAAGTAATAGTATTTTTTTGGACAGTAGTTGTTTTTAACTAAAATAATATTAATGTTCATTTTTTATCCTATTTTGTTTATTGGGAATTCGTAAATTGAACGTAAAATTGTTTAGTGCCTTTAAAGTATATAATTTTTTAATTTTATGACTTCTTAACATTTTAAAATTTTTCTTGAAAAAATAAAACAATGTCAACGTTTAGTTTTTATTACATTTTGTTTATTGGTAATTGAGCATTAATATAAATTTAAAGTAAAATTGTTTTATGCCCTAAAAGTATTTTTTTTTACATTGTCTCACTACTATTATATTGACCGCAAGTGTTCATTTGAAAAATGACAAATCTTTTATTTGTGATTTGTTTAGAGCCTCGCAAGACCTGGCTTTTGGAGGATGGCGATCACGAGGGCGGCTTTGCCTCGCAGCGCAATGGACCCTTCCAGAGTTCCTTGAACGATGGCAAACATGGTAGCAAGTCGTCGCGGGCCAAGAAGCCGAGCATTCTGCGCGGCATTGGGCATATGTTCCGCTTTGGCAAGAATCGCAAGGATGGCGTGGTGCCGGTGGACAACAACTATGCGGTGACCATTTCGCCACCAAGTTCGGTGGTTTCCACAGTCACATCGCCGCAGTTGCAGCAGCAGCAGCAACAGTTGCAGCAACAACAGCAGCAACAGCAGTTGCAGCAGCAACACCAACAGATACCCACCGCAGCACTGGCGGCATTGGAGCGGAATGGCAAGCCGCCGGCGTACCAGCCACCGCCACCGCTTCCAGCACCCAATGGTGCGGGAAATGGTGGCCAGCTGAATGGCGGCATCCATCAGAACGACATCTTCAACCATCGCTATCAGCATTATGCCAACTACGAGGATCTGCACCAGCAGCATCAGCAGCAGCACCAGATTAGGTGAGAGCGGGCCTGCGACCTGTCCTTTGCATCACTTTCATTTTGCCGGTGACGGAATTAATTGTTTAACTAACCTTATTAGCCATTTAACAACACCATATTGTACATGTGTCGTATCTTTCTCTTTCTCGCCCCGTTTCTTCTCTTTCTGTTCCGCGTGTCCGTGTATCTATGTTGTTGTCCATGTGTAAACCACCCACAAACGCACACTCACCCATACAAACACACACACCCTCTACTACTACCACTACTAAAAAAATTACACTGGTAAAAAAAAGCAGTGGAGGCGATTCCACCACATCCATTTCGGAAACGCTTTCGGAGTCAACGCTCGAGTGCATGCGACAGCAGGTCATCCGGCAGCGCATCAAGGTGGAGGCGGAAAGGTAACCCACCCACAACCACACTATCAACCACAAACACACCACACACACACAACCACAGCACACACACACACACTACAGTGCAGTGCGGTTTGTAGATATAAGGCGGTTTTGGTTTAGAGCATGAACAATATAAGTTAAAGTCAGTAGAACAACAAATTTAATTAACAATCAAATTTAACAATAGCATTAAACATTCTGACTTAAAAAATAATTTTGAACAACTTTGCAGCATAGAGCTTTTTGAAGTAAAAACATAATTTGTTGATATAATCATAATTATGAGTTAGTCGATATAATATCAATCAGCAATCTGCTAGATTTTTAGCTACTAATAAATTTAATTAAACTAAGCCATTGTTTTGGAAGACAACAACTTGATTAATTAGAAAAAAAAAAAATTAATTTAATAATAAAAGAAAAATTAATTGCTAAGTATTGGAACGATTTTTTATATATTTAAACATTTTACTACAAAGCTTTAAAACGTTTAAATATTCAACCTATCGGTTTAAAGCTTAGTTGTAAATTAAAGATATTTAAGCCACTTGCTCTTATTATTACTATATTTGTTTAAGATTTAAAGCTAAAAACCGAATTGCACTGCACCTTGTTACTAAAAGGACTTTAAGTTGCTTACTCGGGATGCTTGTTACATTTTTATTATTTGGCATGATTTTAGGCATTTTGTAAATTACTCATGAACATTACCCGCTTGCTTTCGCAGTCGCCGCCATCAGCATTACCATTCGCAGCGCAGTGCCCGCTCGCAGGACGTGAGCATGCACTCGACGAGTTCCGGATCCCAGCCAGGATCCTCGGCCCAGCCGCAATCGCACGTGAATGGAGGAGGCGGAGGCGGAGGAGTGCGACCCATGAGTAGCTACTACGAGTATGAGACGGTGCAGCAACAGCGGGTCGGGAGCATCAAGCACAGTCACAGCAGCAGTGCCACCTCGTCCTCGTCGTCGCCCATCAATGTGCCGCACTGGAAGGCGGCGGCCATGAATGGCTATTCGCCGGCCAGCCTGAACAGCAGTGCCCGCAGTCGTGGTCCCTTTGTGACCCAGGTGACGATCAGGGAGCAGGGCATACCAGCCCACCTGCTCCTCCAGCAGCAGCAGCAGCAACACCAGCAGCAGCAGCAACTCCAACAGCAACAGCAGCAGCAGCCCACCTACCAGACCGTCCAGAAGATGTCCGGACAATCGCAGTATGGCAGTGCCGCCGGATCCCAGCCACATGCCTCCAAGGTGTGACTATAGGTGTTGGCGCAAGCGCGCGCCACTCGCGATGTGCTAGCCGAAAATCGGGTCATTCTCAGCGAGGTCAACGAGGAGGTGGAGGTCTTCTACTTTGCCACCGAGTGCTGAACACATCAAATCATGTTCGGGGGATTTGTGTTGTTAAAATTGGATGAAATGGAATTTCCACTTTTAGGGGTGGGTTAAAGCTGATTGTAATCTTTAAAGGGAATCCTATGTATTAGCAGTTGTAAGCCTAAAATGCAGCCAATTATTGAGGGCAAAACGAATATATATATTTAAGGCTATAAAAGAATTTGTAAAAGGAAAAAAAGTTTAACACTTAATTTATTTAATGTCTGAATAATGAATATATATTTATCCGTGATATTTGGTTAAGCAAACAAAACCAAGACGTTTTCTTGCTAAACGGAAAGAACCAGGATAATATTTACTTTAATATTCCAAAACATTATCAAGGGTCCGCTAGAAAAGGATAAACTTGATTTTATATTTGTAAATTGCAAACAATAATATTTTGATTTATCAGACTTTCAACCAATTGACCCACCCTGACACACATCTAGCTTAAGTTCACAATTCACAATATATATACATATATATATATATTCATTTTTGGCGAACCAGAAACCAAGAGAGTAACGAATAAGGAAAGTATTCCCCCGTAAAGCGCTATCCAATTGTCATGTGCTTAGATTTAATTGTTTAAACGCAAACACAAACGATTTCCGATTGAATTAAGCATTAGCTGTAAGTCCAAGTCAAACGCCTTTGTACATAATTAGTTTACGCAGAAGCCAACAAGAAAAAAGAAACATCAAATTCGAAAACTACGAAAGGTCTTAAGAATTTCCATTGTCATTTATCCTATTTTTTTTTTTTTATGTATACCCTATATATTTTTTTGATTTGTAAATAGAACTTGTTTGTTTATTTTGTTAAGCTTTAAAGCGGACGCCATTTTGTGTGTGCAAACGTTAAGATTTGCAAGAAGCGAAAAGTAAAACTTATAGCCACCACCATATACATATATAGCTATATACATATGAGTAAGTGAAGCAATTTTTTTTGTTCTAACGAATATTGAGCCTAGACAAGGAGTTTTGTGCAGCCGACTTCGGCTAAGGTCTCTAAAACAGACAAGCAGCTTAATTTAGTTATACGAACCACTACGATTAAGTCGAATTAGTGAGTAGCCTTACATGTATAGCGAATATATACGATACTTTAATTTTGTGTACAACCTAAGTAATTTGTGCGATACCGAACTACCGAGTTGCGAATTAAAAGTTACAAATTTCCATAAACAGCAGTTCAACCACGATGCGATTTCATTTCTCAAGCACAACCAGCATCACCGCCTTTCCTTGGTGCTCTTCCTAATCTTTGGTTCGCCTTCAGCCGGCGGTGGAACGGATAAGTTCACTGCGGTAGGGCTGATAGCTGTGCATTTTGTTTTTCGTTTCTTGGTTGTTCTGACCTTGCCCCGAATGGGCACTTCCGTCGGTGGCTCTAAGACCGAAATGGGTTTCAGTACGGTGAAGTTCTTCAGAAGCTCCGGGTCGGGCGTCTTGTCCCAGTGCTCACTAAAAATAAAAGATCAGTTTACTAATAAACGCAAATCCAACTGAACTTAAGAATAACACAAACGCAAATTCTTCAGCACAGATAGGTAATAAAGAGAAATCATTTTAATTTTCTTAAATTAAAGATCAGTTTGGGCGCTAGTTTCAAGGGGTGGAGTGGATTCTAAACGCGAATTCTTTAGTCTTACACTAAAATCTTTTTGATTTTCGCCTTGGTACCATAAAGGTCAAACAACGTAATAAGATATTTTTATGAAACGAGTATTTTTGAACCATAATTGTTTTTGGAGGAGGCGAACTTACTCGGGTAAACTTTTTGGCGGCACCACCACATCCAGGACGTTGTCTATCAGCCGCGACTTGAGCATGCGATCGTTCGTGGTGGTCGAGTGCAACGATGGCGACGTGTTGCACTCGATAAGCCAGGGTTTCAGGTTGTTATCGATGATGATGTCGTAGCCGTAAACCTCGAAACAGTGCCGGTCGTTGGCCATCACTGGAGCCACTGCGTCCAAGGAGTGCCGGATGGTTTCAATGATCCGAGTCCACAGCATCTCCGAAACACCCTCGCCACGCATGCTGTCCAAATAGAGCCACAGATTCTGGAGAGGCCACTTGCCACCATGTATCGAATTGTACTCTTGCTGGAAGTCAAGAGTTAGTGCAAGAGATTAAAAAAGAGTAGGTAAGTGTTAAACTTTTAATTTACCATTGTAATATTGTTACTTAACTATTTACTAAATGTTTTAAGAAATAAAATATATCGAAAAGCTAATTATATTTTCATGTGTTTTAACGTTTGATTCTTTGGGCCATTTTTTAAATATTTCTTTGTTTTAAATTGTAATTTATCTATTTTAACTATCTGAACTAACTTACGTTCGTCTTCTGGATACTGACATTTGTCAAGTGCATAAAGACGTTGTCGATCTCGGTCTGGTCGTATTTCTCGGTGCAGAAACGGCAGAAGCCCTCATTGTAGAGATACGCCTTCAGCGGATTGAATGTTGTGACCAGGACGAAGAGTCGCAGATCGAATTTCTTGCCGCCGATGAGCAGGGGGTTATCAATATACTTGGAGATGACGTAGGTATCCCGGTTGATTGGCGGAAAGAATGTGCGGGCATCGTAGGCGAACTTCTTCAACTTGGACAGCTTGTTCACCAGATAAATGCCCACACCCTGCGATTTGCTGCACGGCTTGACGATCCATGTGCTGGCGGGATTGCGATGGAAGGCCTCCACAAAGAGCAGATAGTCCGAGGGCAGGACAAAGGTCATGGGTATGATGTCCAGGTGCATGTACCGAGTGCCACCAATGCCCAGTTTGGTGTCCGGCGAATGGGTTTGCGCCAGAGGATCCCCTCTCCGTTCCAGATCCTTGCGATACCGCTTGATGTTCTTGATCAGCAGATCCTTCCGTGACAGCTCCACGGAGTTTGGAAAGTGGTTGATCACCCTGCGGGTTAGGCTAGAGAATTAAACCTCCAGAGAAAACCTGTGTCTACTTACTGATCGGATCGCATGCGATACGGATGGTCAATGCCGAAGATATATCGACAATTCTGGGTGGAGGCCCAGTAAAAGTTCCATTCGCCATTGAACGATGGCACCTGTTGCCAACCTCTTTTCTGGAAATTGCTCACCAGCGCCGACTTCTCCCAATCTGTGCTGTAGTACATGCCCTTCTGGGCTTTTGGTGGCCTCAGGCGACTCTGGATAAAGGGCACACCAATGAGCGGGGAGGGCATTAACTTGACCTCTGGCAGGTCATCGTCACTGGTGTAACTGCCACCGCATTTCTGGCGAAGATTCCTCAGAGCACTGGCCTGCCTCTTCATCCTCTTTTGCGGACGGTTGCGTTTGTGGGAATTTGCCTCTGTTGGACTTCAGACACTATAACACTAACTGAGAATTTTTCCTTAATTTTGAGGCGCTCGTACATTAGATGCTGACAATATAGTTTTGGCCTGGCTGATGGTCATCTTTGTAGATCCTGAGATGGATTCCAAGGATAGTTACCTTGAGCATTTCAATTCGAATTTCAATTTTATCTGAAGGCTTTTTCTATTCCACTAAATTTAAAAATGAATTAAACGCGAATTAAGCGTATTTTAACTAAAAAACTGTAACCCTTAGATTTTTGACTTCTTATTAATTTTCATTCCGTTTATTTACTGCAATTGACTTGTTCCCACGACGAATGACTGTTTCCCCAAAGCAGATCCGCTTCGCCCTGAAGAAAACGAAAGTGTTAATTCCCTTGAAGCTGCAATGTTTGCCCAAAAATTGCGTTTTTTTTCATTGGTTCTAGATAAACGCAAACCTTCTGCGGAATCCCAAGACCACAGCGACGAGTGAAAAACTGACTTTGACATAAATATTTGTGAGACTGGTTCACCTGTCCACCACAAAACCCATTGAGTAATTTCACACATTGCGGGTTTGGGTACAGAACAATCGTAGACTATTGTCGGGGAATCCGACTTGGCTGGGTATAAAGTCGATGGCATGGTCACCAGAGTTCATCAGTCGACCAAGCGGCGAAGTCAAGAGTGGATTTTAGATTAGCGAGGACAACCGAGTAACACATTACATCACCATCATGAAATTCTACCTGGGACTGGCTGCGATCTTGGTCGTGATGGTTTCGCTGGCCAAACCGGGAGAGGCCACCTTTGGCAAGCTGAATCTTCTGCTGGGCGGAGCAACCAGCTCTGGCTACGGTTCTGGATATGGTTATGGTTCCGGCTATGGCTCTGGCTACGGATATGGATCAGGCTATGGAGGAGGCTACGGAGGAGGATACGGTGGCGGCTATGGATATGCTCCCGAGAACGTGGTGAAGGTGATCAAGGTGTCGGTTGTGCCGGGAGGAGGAGTCGGAGGAGGCTATGGTGGTGGCTATTCCGGCGGCTTTGGCGGTGGCTACGGAGGCAGCTACTCCGGCGGCTTTGTGGGAGCTGCCCCTGCCATATCCACTTCCGCCGTGGTTACTCCGGTGGTCACTTCGGTGTCTACACCAGTGGCTACTCCCGTTTTGGCAGGTGGTGCCGGCTATGTGGGTGGTTTCGGTGGTGGCCTGACCGGCGGCTTAGGTGGCTACGGCGGATCCTTCGGTGGTGGTGCCGCCCTGCCCGCCTCCTATGGATTTGGAGCTGGTTATGGCGCCGGTGGTGGCTTCGGACTGGGATTCGGAGCACCAGTACCACCACCACTGGGCTTGGCTGGAGGACTTTGCTAGAGAACGAGCAAGCCACATCACAAAGTGGTAGTTTTTTTTTGATAATTTTAAACAACGATTTGTAATTAAAAATAAACGATTTGTAATAAAATGTATAAATAACGATTTAAGTTTGCAGTTGCTTTTATTTCAAATTGATGACGTTTTTAATTGATAGTTATAAATGGTAAAAGGATTTTTTAAAGGATATTTCCTAAATAAAGATTTGATGTGTCTTAAATATTTTGTAATATTACTTTTACAAAATATTTTATTATAGAAAAAAGCATTTATAAATATTCAAGTAGCTTTTAAAAATAAACTATTAAGTTAAATAATGTTTATAAGCACCTATAAAATACCTATTTTAAAACCCATATCTTCTATAATTTTTTTTAGACTTATAACTTGTAAACAACAATTATTGGAATTATTGTGCAATTTTTGTATATTGCTTTTAAAAAAGTAAATTTAAACTTTGAGTACGCTATTTTAAGAACCAAAAAACACAAAGAATGAACCGATATGCCCAAAAGTGTGCTAAAATAAAATGAAACCGAAAAAACTTAGGTATTTTATTTATATTTTCAATTGTTTAACCTAGCTAAAATTTCTTTTTTTATATTGATTTGTCATGTACAATCTAGGGCTTTTGCAATTCAACTCTTGACAATTACCAAATACGTTTTCGCACCCAATTGAAGAAGTCAGCTCCCCCGAAAAAAAATAGGCCCACCCAACCCTAGTGACCTTCGTTTGGGGCTCTGAATGAAACCGAGAGTTGAGTGCTGTTTACGCACTCAGTTAGCCGGCTTTAACCCTTTACCCCCCATAACATCCAACTGCAGATCGTGAGCCCAACCAAACTGTTAATGGTAATCAAGTGCCAAAAACCAAAAGCAAAACCAAAGTCAAAGTCACAAGAGCCAAGCCCAAAAAAAAGCAAAACGTTTGGCCGAGAATGCTTTACGCCCCATGGGTGCAAATTGGTTGAGTTGGACCAGCTCCATCTCCATCTCCATCTCCAGGCACATATGTCGCAGCCACTACAACCACTACAACCACTTGAGCCACTGAATCCACAAAAGGCCAAAGAAACACACCACACAACAAATGCCGGGGGAAACAGCCACACAATCTGTAAATGGGAATGTGTAAATTGGCTATGATTTAATATTTGCCATGCTCGAACAATAAAAGAGATAAAAAGGAAATACAATGCAAATAGAGAATTAGAAAATAAAATATGTTTCTAAACTGTTTATAGGTTTAATTTATCTTAGAGATTTATATTTAATTTATAAATATTTTAAGGGCTTCAAGAAGCACAATAGTTTCTGAACGCACTGTCTTTGTCGAGATTGTTGCTCTCAAAAAAGAAGACAGCATCTTGCTCAAAAACTTAAAAGGAATACAAATAAGAATTAGTTATGTATGGTGCAAAACGTATATGCCTAAAATTCCACGCATAATTCCTTAAAAAATCAATTTTACGATGCTCTCGTGTTTGGCCAAGAACCAGTTGTCAAATTATGGGAACATCAAATTTCGCCAGCTGAAACACCTTTGGCTAAATCTGCTTTGTGTTTTTTCTGTTGACCCAATTTGCATAACAGTCTAGATCAATAGATGAGCAAAGAAAAAAAAACAAAGAATAAAGAGCTCTAAACCGACATTTACATATATGTAATATTTGATCTGAGATGGGAGGAAATAAGAGTACGTCAGAAATTGTGGACGTGGCCGACGTGGACAGGTTTTCGGGTCGAAATCCGAGATGAGCGAAGATTTTCGGGCGTGCTTGGGTTATTCGGATTTTTGGGTATTTAGATATTTGGATATTTGGATATTGGCGAGGCTCTAACCCGTTGAGCCCCTTGACTACGTGGAGTCATGCATAGGATTTCGGGGGCTGAATGAGTGAGAATGCCAATACACCGGCCACGCACATGTGCCAACATGCACTGCGAGAAATCGTCCTTAGATTTGGAAAACTTATTTTATGTATGCTTTTAAAAATGTGTTTTAAAGTTCTTCGTTTCCTTGCGATACAGGTTTACTGCTCTTTTATAGACATTTGCTTTCCTGTACATAAGTTTTAATCAAGTGTTAAAGTAAATAAAATTAATAATACTACCATATAGTTGAATAGGTCTATACATTTATTTTAATGTCTCAAAACACCCTCACTCAAATTGACACAATAAATAAATGAGTCAATAAATATGCCACTCACATTGAATTGTCTTGCTGAATTTCCCAATCGTTTATTGACATTTTTAAGAATCCATGTCACAGATAAACAATATTTTAAAAATTGAACTATAAAAATGAGTCATGTGACCTATTAAATTGCAAATCATAATATTGCTATTTAGTAATTATAAAAAACATTTTTTTATACTTTGATTATATGATCTTTAGGCCAAACATTTTTCTCAGTGCCAATTTGAGTGATGGGGAATTACCTGAGATTCTTGCGAATCCGTAACGCTTTTGGGCCGTGGATTCATTTAACTATTTTTTGCTCTGCCCGCGGAAGATGCGAGAAAATATCTCACTTGATGGTTAAGTAGTTGAGGTGACAGACAGCCGGTGGCTGGCAGCCCCGCCCAGATTTCATATATTTTGTCGTCTTGTGCGTCTGCCTGTCCGTGTGTCTTGGCCCATAAGTAACCATTTATGAATTAAGCAAACAGCAATGTTCGCAGGGGGAATCTCTCGTCTCGTCTCGTCTTGTCTTGTCTTGTTGGTCGGAGCATAGATTAGAACAACACAAAAACGCACACACAGGTGAGCTGTGGGTACGAACTGCTGCTGCTGCTGGCCGACTATAAATTAGTGCCCCGTCTCGATTTGGGACATCAGTTGAGTTTCGTTTGTCAGGTTTGCCAGCAGCATCCTCAGTACTACTATAACCATGAAGCTGTACGTTTGCGTTTCACTGGCCCTTTTGGCCATCGCGGCCCCAGTGCCCTCGAGTGCCTTGTTGGGCGCCAAATTGGCCCTTCTCAAGGCCATTGGCGGTGGTCTGGGTGGTGGCAACTCTGGCGGCGGTGGCGGTGGCTACGGCGGCGGCTATGGCGGTGGCTATGGCAGCGGTGGATACTCCGGTGGCTACAACCAGGGATACTACAGCCAGCCAAGCCGTCCAGTCTACAGTTCTGGATATGGCAGCTCCTCAGCCAGCAGCAGCAGCAATTATGGAGGCAGCTATGGCGGTGGTTATGGCGGTGGCTATGGCGGTGGTGAACAGGTCATCAAGGTCATCAAGGTGGTGGAGCAACCCTCTTACGATTACGGACGTTCGGCCGGCAACTATGGTGGCAACTATGGCGGCTACTCTTCCAGTGCTTCTGCCAGCTCCAGTGCCAGTTCCAGTTCCTACTCTGCTCCTGCTCCCGCTCCTGTGACTTATTCCGCTCCTGCTCCCGTGACTTACTCTGCTCCCGCTGTGAGCTACTCTGCTCCTGCTCCCGCTCCCGTGACTTACTCTGCTCCTGCCGTGAGCTACTCTGCTCCTGCTCCCGCTCCTGTGACTTACTCTGCTCCCGCAGTGACCTACTCCGCTCCTGCTCCCGCTCCCGTTGTGCGTGTTCAGGCTGCTCCCGCTGTGACCTACTCCGCTCCTGCTCCCGCAGTGACCTACTCCGCTCCTGCTCCCGCTGTGACATACTCCGCTCCTGCTCCCGCTCCCGTTGTACGTGTTCAGACCGCTCCCGCTGTTACCTATACCGCCCCGGCACCTGTGGTGCGCTACGCCGCCCCAGCTCCGGCGCCCATCAGCTATGCACCCGCACCCGCTCCCGTTTCCTACGCCCCGCAGCCGCAGAGCCAGCAGGTGGTGAAGACCATCAAGCTGATTGTGGATGAGGACCGTGCCCCCGCCCAGGTGTACGGACCACCGGCCGTGGAGTCCAGCTACTCCAGTGCCTCCTCCTCCGCCTCCGCTTCGGCTGGCTCAAGTGGTGGCTACAACTCTGGCTACAATGGCGACTACAACACTGGCTACCATGGTGGTTACAACGGTGGCTACAACGGCGGCTACAACTCTGGCTCCAATGGTGGATTCTCTGGCGGATTCAATGGCGGCTGGAAGCGTGGCGGCATCTTCGAGAAGCTGGTGGGCTGCTAGGCCATGGAGTCCTGCAGATTAAGGATCTGACAAATCCGTCCTAACCTAAACCGTACTCAACTATTTTTTTTTCTAGTTCTAAAGCGAATAATTGTATTTTTTTTATTGTTCGATCGATGTGTACATAAAATAAATCAACATATATCACCGATATCAGGTCTTCATGTCTTTACAATCTTATGTAATCGCCAGAACCTCAGACGATTTGTCTGTCTGCTGATATATATATATATATGTATTTTTTTTTTTCGGGGTTTTTTCATGGCTCCCCAACGAGTGGGTTCATTGTGTTATTGATTCTAAGCGAAATTAGCACCCTGTTGCTAACTCCCAACGAATCGGTGGCGATTCATATTCCGATTCCGATTCCGGATCTGAAGAGATCGAGAAGAAGGCCCTGAGAGCGAATCAAGAGACCGGCAGAGAGATAGTGTTTTGGGTTCGGATCTATAGGGTTTGCTAATTTGCGTTTAATTATTATAGCCGTCAAGCTTCCATTTCCAGATAAATGTTTACCACAAAAAAATCAAGTAGGTTAGATATCCAGAATTTAAAATTTTTTAATTATTATTATTTATTTGGAATTATAAAATAATAATTGCTCCTGTATAAAAAACATATTTATACGCGTTTAGAAGTGGTAACCTCAAATTTATGCCAAAAATAATAGTTTTATAATAAAATGCCATACTTTGTTAATCTTGCCCCAAACATTTATTTTTTATATAATTCGGAAAATAATGAGCATCAATTACTTAGGTCTTTAGAATTTAAGTTTAAATGAAATGAATGTAAAATACCGATTCGGATAATGTTTTCTTTCTTAATTGCTGGAATGCTTTTAAGTTGAAAAACAATATGAGTGGCTTCAAAGGCGTTCCGAATAAGTTGTATTCTTCGAGTGCTCGAAGCACCGATTGAGAATAAATAAATAAATATTACGATCATAATCACCGACATGTCATGCGATTCGTGTGCGATTTGAGGGCAAGTCAACCAAAGGTGTCACCGATGGGCGTTCAGCCAAGACCAAGAACTTCCGTTCGACAGCGAATATAAAAGCTGGGAGTCCCCAAAGAGTTGGCCAATCAAAATGCAAGTGCTTGCAGTTCAATTGTTTATTCTGGCAGTGGTTGTCGAGGCTTCAGTTGGTGGTCATGCGGTGGAGCAGGAGCAACTGTCCAGCCACGGTGCGTATGAGCAATTTGTTTGGCACTTGTATCTTATTAAGTACTATAAGTATCAACAGGTTATGGACCAGCCATACATATAAGTTCAGGGGTTCTTCAGCTAGCTCCGGATACGGAACAACCGCATTTGCTGCTGGTGCCCAACGTTCAATCCTCGACTTTGGGAAATCCTTGGCCGCACTTATATGTGGACACCTTGACCGCTTCGCACCTGCCACACTCATCGCTCCCAAATGTCCACGAACCCCGCATTTTGGTCAGCGATAATGTGGACTTTTCGCAGCTCAAATTGCCCCAGCATCAGGTTGTTCACTCCCATGGACGCTAGATGGTTCATCATAAATCTATTTACAAACTTCCATAAATTATTATTATCCAACTGGCCTATTTTGTTTATTGGCCATTGTTTTTTTTGTTGTTTTTTTATTCACTTTGATTTACTATTTTTTTAAGTTTTACTCAGACATTGAATAAACTTGCTATAAAAACAAATTGTTGGTTAAATTTTTCTAAGATATTATTTTTAGTTTATTTAAAATACTTTCGTTTTAATTTTAAAACCCCAAAGAATTCTTTTCAATTTCGATATAACTTAGTTTTATTTCAGTAATCATTAACAAACAAAAAAAAAACAGATTTAGAATAAAATAATCTTTGAGCATTTTTCTAGGTCTTGGGTGCGAGACTATCACAGTCTTAGTAGAGATGCTCCAGCTGGTGGTGGTCCAGGTCGAGGTGGTGGTCGTGCTGGTGCTCCGCCTGGTGCTGGTGCTCCACCTGCTCCTCGAGGGCCTGGTGCTGCATGTGGTGGAGCTCGTGCTCTTCGCGATCCTTGAACTCGTACAGGGTGCTGTAGCTGAAGGCGCCCTTGCCGTGATCGATGCCGGGCACGGCCTTCTGGTCGAGGTCCTCGTAGTGCGAGTGCACCTCGCTGGCCTCCGCGTACTCCTCGCCGGCATCGCTGCTGCCGTAGTCCGCCGGGAAGCCCTCCTCGCCCAGGTGATCGCCCAGGGAGCCCAGGTGATCCGCCTCGGCGGAGGCTCCAAGCTCATGGGATGATGAGCTGAAGTCCAGCTTGGACAGAGCCTCGCCGCCAGTCAGACCGCCGGCATAGTGACCCAGCAGACCCGCCGAGTGGACCACACTGGCGGACAGGTCCTCCTCCAAAGGATAGCTCTGGATGCCCAGCAGTAGCAGCTGACCCAGCAGGATCATCAGTTTCTGGCGGTAGGTGAACATCTTTATTGTATGTGGGTATACGACAAAAAAAAAAACTATTGTTAAGCTCCTTTAACCGACGCGGCGAAATGTTTCGAGTCAACTAATTTACTACTCTCAACTGCATTTGGTTTTATATATGCTTCGGACCGCACATTTTCCTGCATTTTCCACAGACTTTTACACACAGTCTTTTGTTTTGTTTGGCGAAAAGCGAAAAGCGAAAAAACACAGAGAGAAAAAAAATGTTGCAACGGACATCTGCCGCTCGTTCGACTGGAGCTGATAATTTGCTGCACTTACTCCGCATTACGTCGACGTCTAAGTGGCGGGACCATTGAAAAGCCTGTTGCAATGGTGCGTATACGTAATAATTTTCGTCTTCTCTATTATTATAACTAGTTTTTTCGGCCAATTTTAGGCCCGTTCTCGGTGTTATTTTCGCCCCACCGTTGCGTCATTTTTGGCATCCCTGTGGGCCTTAACCCTCCACATATTTGCACTCAAGGCGGAAGCTTACTCATTTTTTTTATTTGGCACAGGCCAACTAATTGGGTTTATCAACAGCAAATAGTGGAAGTAGAATGGCAAATATAAAGAGCCATTCACATACACTCGCATATCTGAGGTATATATTTCTTGGCCCGCAAACAATGCAGTGAGATGTGTCCATTGTGCAAAGCTGCCAAAAAGTGCAATTAACTATTTGGGAAACTTATTTATTTTAGAAATAATGCGGCATTTATACTTGGTGTACTAAAAACGTAGATAAACTTCGGAAGTTTATGCAAGCATAAAACTCTTTAAAATACAAATATATTACTATTAGTGTGTTAGTGTTACTTTTTCCTTTTCCAGAAATAAAAATTATTTTAAAATTCAAAATGCACGAGAAAATTTATTTGTTTATTTTTCCAATATCCTTACACTTAATATATTTATCGCAATTTGTAAGCAATTACATGAAGAGCTTTTTTACATCTTTCTTTCTAAGATTTCTTGAATTCTTACCGATGTTTCTCATGCACTTATAGGTTTTAAATTAATATTAACAGTTTAAATTGCCAGTTAAAATATGCTTTGCATCTAACATATTCAAATATAGATTTTATAATAAAGAATATAAAAATATAATAAAGTATAGAGAGAAGGATCTATACCAAAAAATCAAGACACAATATCATACGATAAGCACATATTACATCAAGTTGTACTTCAACCACATACCAAGGTACTTGGAGGATTATAGCCAAACAATTGGATATAGAGCAATCTAAATTGATTTCGATTTCATGAGAGTCTGGACTGCAATTAATATCACAACGAGCCAGCAGAGCGAAAAACCCGCGCTTCATCGCCAATATTTTCACAGAAAATCCACGGCTCCGTGCGTCTGACACACTCACCCATATTCCCAACCAGGTATGGATACTATATATATATATATATATATGGAGCACGAGTGTCTGGAAGATTGCAAAAGTTGGAAAAGCGAAACAAAACAGCAAACGTTGTACATATAAACATTTGTCGATTGTGCCTGCCGCCAATTCAACGCGAAATGTGCGAATAAATTGCCAAAATCGAAGAAGATTGGAAATGCAACGAACGTTGGATGCTCTAATCCGAAAACCCCAAAAACTAAATACAAAGAATAGCCATTTTTATTTTCAATTTACTCCTTAACATATCTTAAGTAAATATATTTTATAAAAGAAAATTAGAGAAAGAATTTTATACAAGTTTTAGTTTTAAATGTGTTTGAATTTAATTGATATGCATTGTCTGGTGCAATGTTATTATATAATATCTTAAATAATCATATTTTCCAGAGTTTAGGACAGTCTCTGAAGGTTGCTATATTTGGTATCCCTATTTTTTGTTAAAGTCTAATTAAATTTATTTATGAAATATATTAAAAGATTCGTCAAAATTTTTGTATTAAACTATTTTAATATTAATCAAATCTATTAAATTCTTTAATTCATTTCAATTCAATTCCTACTGAATTGAGCTTGAAAAACAACAATTTAAGCCTTTAAGGAAAAGATTTTTATCGTTTGTAAAATAAGTATTTTAATAACAATCACACGTTACGTAAGATACTTTTTATTTAAAATAAAATAAAAATTAAGTTTTAAATTTAGAAAATATTCTTTGTTAACACAAGACCCAATCCTCGAATACGATCAGTGTGATTAATTGGGCAGTATTCATTTGCGAGTCCACCATTCCAATGGCCAACTGGAGGCACTCGCTCTGAGCGCTTCTGATTGCTGCTGTTGCCGGCGATCGGCGATGTTGCTGGCGGGTTGCGTGCCGGCAACATCAACGACGGCAGCAACACCACAAATTACCAATGTAATAGCACCGCTTGTTTTGTGTTTAATTTTTTGTCTGTTTTTTTTTTTTTTGAATTTCTGTTAATGGTGGGGGCGGCGAGCTGATGTTCAGGCAATTGGTAGCAGAGCGACGTGGCTATTAGGTGGATCGCTTTTTGGTAGCCCGTCCAACATTTCCTAACGTAAAATATTTGCTTGGAAATTATGCGATTGCTACCTGGATTTTGCAAGCCAAGAAAGTAGTTCGTGAGGTTAGGACACGTGTATCGTGGCCGATATAATGAAGTCGTGTCTTAGAACAATATGTCGCTATCTCAAGGGGTCATTAATTTCACTTGAAGTGTGCTAAAATGAAAGTTATCTCAGTTGGCAAACATATAAAAAGCTAGGCAAGAATACAATTTTTCAGTGTCTCTTGAATAGCCATGTCTTTTTCGGCTCTGTTGCTGCAGCTGGTGGTGCTGGCTTGGATTTCGCAGTCCATTGAGGCAGATTTTATAAATCAAACTGTTCATCACAGTGAGAACTTTCCAAAAGAAACTTTTTTACCAAAAAACTGGTTGAACAAGTCAAGCTCTTCAAATGTAGATAGTTCAAAGTCTGATAGCTCAAAGAAAATTGGTTCTGAAAATGTAAAAATTACAAATATCGATTTCAAGAATGAAAAAGTCTTAAAAACTAAAACTCAAAACATATCTAGTTTGCCAAATACAGATAGTTTGGAAACTCAAGTACTGGGTGAAAATAAAACTGAAATGTCCCATCTTTCAAGCTCTGAAAATAAAAAGTACTCTAGTTCAGAGGATGTAAAAAACTTGGAAACTTTTAAGGTAAAAATAATAAGTTATCAATTAGTTGATAATTTAAGAAATAACAGCTCCAAAAATTTGACTCACTTGAAAAATAATATCTTAAATAAATCCAGTTCCGAAAATAATAATGTTTTGGAATTCTTAAAGCCCGAGAATGCAAGCTATTGTAAAAATGGGTTTTCTAAGGATTCGGAAAATACGAGACTGGCGGAAACTGATGCCCTCAATTTGCGACAGATACCGACTTCATATCAGACCCTAATCCTGGATCGACTGCAGGATCAATTGCATCAGCTGGTTGTCGGGTTGCCTCTGGACATAGCCTTCTCCACCATTAACTATATATGTAGCACCATTGTCGACCTCGGTGTGGTCAGGACCAAACTCATTCCAGATGTGTCGCGCCTAAAGCTTCAGCTTCGCACCCAAATCGAGTGCCGGAATGTCAGTATTTCTCTGACGCAAGCTGAGAACTTGTGGACTACTCCGGGATTTTATCAGGATCGTCCCACGGTCTTGTTTATCACCGGCTGGACATCGAACATCAATGATTCGAATAGTGGACCCGTGGTCAAGGCCTATGCTTGTCGCAATGATACCAATGTTTTGGTGAGTGTAGATATGGCAAAAAAATATTTAAAATATTTACATAAAAATATACAAGGATATGGAAGGGTTTTAAAGCTGCCTAAAAGTATGCATAAAAAGAGGAAGCCGCCTTTGGTAATAAACCCATTTGATTTCTAAGTTTAAAATATATTGTTGCATACTTTCAGACACCTTTAATAGAGATTTAAAAACCCTTTTGAAAATAGATAGTGATTAGGAATAATAATATATATTCTTTAAGATACATATATATAAAAGATAAGAAAGACAAAAATAATGGCTAAAAACAAAGCTGATATGAGATAATACCCTTTTGAGCATATCACATCCTAGTAAAATACATAACTCCCATGTTTTGTAGGTCCTGGATGCAGCTGACCTTGTGGACACCCTTTATACATGGTCGGCTTTGAACACCGAAGTTATTGGAGCCAGTCTAGCCAGGGCGCTGCTCCGGCTGAATAGGACTTATGTGGCCAACCAGTTCCATTTGGTGGGCCACAGCTTGGGCGCCCAGATCGCAGGCTCTGCGGGCAGGAACTACAGGGAAATGTCGGGGGGCTCAATCCTGAAGAGAATAACCGGACTGGATCCGGCAAATCCGTGCTTCTACGACGGCAACGATCTGGAGGGTCTGCGGAGTGGAGATGCCCGCTTTGTGGACATTATTCACTCGAATCCCGGCATGCTGGGCTCTCCCAAACGGGCCGGCGATGCTGATTTCTTTGTCCAGGGACGGATTCCCTTCAAATCGGGCTGCCAAGGCCTCAGCTCCATTGGCTGTTCCCATCAAAGAGCCGTCGATTACTACACAGAAACGGTGTATCCGTCGAATGAGAACGACTTTCTGGGCAAGCGATGTGAACGCTATTCGGAACTCCTTCTGGGAAATGATTGCCAGGACACGCGGACCGTGATGGGCTATGCCGCCAAGCCCACGGAACTGGGCCTCTTCTACGTGGGCGCCAATGGAGCTGAGCCCTATGGCCAGAATGCCAATCCCCAGACCTACACTTCCTCCAACACTAAATGCGTCGCCTGTGACTAAATTATTTGCTGAGAAAAAACCTTGAAACTAAAATAGAAACCAAATATTAATCAATATTATTCGATTAAAGTGCTAAGATGTCCATTTTTGCTACCTAGGACTTGTTCTGCAGAAAACCAGAAAGGAATTTTCAATATAACATCGGTCATTACTCTTGTTAAGCTATAAAATTTTAAATACACATTTAAATTTCTGAATTGTTACACTAAGAGCTTATTCAATATTAATTTAAAACGTCGCTTCGAACTTTTATTCAGCTTTAAAATTCAAAAAAATTGTGTCCGTGGAAAAGCAGAAAGGAATTTTCAATAAAAATTAAAAAACGTCGGTCATAACTTTTTTGTGTTATAGATTAATATCTTAGCGCTTTATTTCTACATTATGAGCTTGTTCCTCCAAAAAATAATGAGCTATAAATATCTTATCTCTGAATTTCAAAATTGAAAATTATAATTTGCAAATATTTAAATTATATATAATTCTGTATAAAATTGACAGGCAACATTTTTTCGATATACCATGTAAGAAACATTAATTTTCATTCCGTGTGTAACCAATGTAAATTAACTAAGCTAATTTTATTCAAAAGCGATGCAAGATAAGTCGGTATGCGGAATTACTTACAATAACTTAAGATCTGCCCTGTAATGTATCTGTGAATTGTCAAGCTGCATTAATATCAAAGATTTTACCCGATAATTTCAAGGACAAGGCGCAGTCGAGCCCCTCTTCCCGCTTCCGAATAAATCGGTCCGTGATTTGTGTGAGAAATTGGAGAACGCTGATGTCAACGCAAAATTTAATCTTTTATGACGTCTTATTGTTTTGGATCCACAAAAATTGTCCAGGGCACGTTGTCAGAATGACAATAGCTTGGAGATGGGGCGCCAAGATCGGGAAATACGGACTTGGGAATAAGTAGTGAGCAATGGGCCTCCATTAATATGGCACTGTTGTCGTAACCAGCAGCAGCATTTGATGTTAAATACGTGAGGTTTAACCTTACACTGGGAACAAAATGTCTCGAAAATAGCTTAGGTATGGAATTGCCATTATCAGACTTTTAGTTTCATTCCTTAACAGAATGAAAACAAAGTATTGGTTTTCCATTTAATTCAATTTTGTGTCCAAATATTTTACTTAGTTTATAAGGCTAGTCAGAACATGTATAGGAATTAAATCAAAAATAATTAAATAGATTAAGTATTAAATTGTAACATTTTTTGCATGTATAAATATTTGCCAGTGTATACACTTTGATACACTATCAGTGGCACGGTGTCTGCCAATCGACTGTGGCAAACTTTTTGTTAGTAAGTCGAAATGATTTTGTCTCAAGCAGACTGTGTCTATCAGTTCGACGATTACAGAGTTCAGAATTCTAGAGAATACCCAAGACCTCTTAGATTTCTGCTGTAGAAACATATCAATTAAAGGTCAAATTTCGATGCTGTTAATGGGAGGTAATAGGGTATTAAGCCCATCGACTGATCACCGACTGCATAACTATGTGTTGTTGTCTTTATCATCACTAATGGCTTGCGATTTGCTTTAGTTTTCGATTAGAATTGAAATGTATGCAGATAAGCTCGGGAAATGCGAGTGCAGTTTTGCTGTCAGCCCGAGATCTCAATTTCCCGTCGAGATGTAGAAGTAGCGAAGGCGACGAATCGAAATGGCAACAAATTAAGTTACAAGTGCACCTTATCTGATCGGAAAACACATCATCGATATGGTCACAGTTGAGTGGAATTATTTATATTAGGCGATGCGAGTGTCGTTTCGCGCTGTTCCTTTTGGAGGCTATAAATACGGCTGACACCTGGCTTCCGGCACTCAGTACTCGTCAAAATCTTGGCCAGAATGAGACGAACTGGCCCAAAGATGCAACCGCTCCTGGCGCTGGTGCTAGTGCTGCTCCTCCAGCTCCTGGCTCCCTCGCACTCCATCGAATGGACTCTGCCGGACATCATCGATTCCATCGGCAATGTGGGCACCAGCATCGTGGACCCCAGTCTGCTGCCCACGCCCCAAGCTCTCTTCGAGAGCAGCAAGCAGCTCATCGCCGGCTATCCCTTCGAGGTCGTCTCCAGCTCCCTCAACGTCATATGTGAGTATCCTTAGAGGGCAAAGGTATGATCTAAATAAGCTGGGAACTGGGTATTGGTACATAGTGAGGTATTTGGGGAAATTTAGGGGAAATCAATAAAACAATTTTGGATTTCAAGTTTCAGGAAATTTTAATACATACATTTTAGAAACAAAAGTTTGATCTAAATAAGTTAGTTGGTATATTTTAAGGTATTTTAAAAATGTATAATGATTGTATTAAAATGATTAAACGTAGTTTGTAGAAAGAGGAATAAGATATTTTAAGTATAGAAATTTATTTTCCCAGGTTCCCAGGCTCTGGCTTCTAATAAAATCAAGTCGAAAATTACCCCGGACATCAACAAGATGAACTTTCAACTGCAGACGGCATGCACAAAAACCAACTTTCCGCTCACCAAAGCGGAGGAAATGTGGGAGAGTCCTCTATTCGATCCCAAGAAGAAGGTGGTCATCCTGGCCACCGGATGGACCACCACCGTCAATGGATCGGATACCATCGAGGTCTTCTCAAAGGCCTACAACTGTCGCGGCGATGTCAACTTTGTGGTGAGTGTGAAATTTATTTAAATATATTTATTATAATAAACTAATAAAAAGAGTTTAGAAACGTTTTTTTAAATAATCAACTATAAAAATTTGTTTGCAATCTAAATAATTTTAATTAATACGTTTTTTAACTGATAAGGCTTTGAACAGATAGTTTCGTTCACAGACAAGTTCAAACCATTAACCCTGGATTTAATCTGAATGTTTTCCGTTTGCCATTTATTTAATATGTATTATTATTTAATCAACTTGACTTCATGCTCTTTGATTTGACTCATAAAAATTGATGATTCCATTTTAAAGCAAAGCTTCTCAAAAACTCTAAAGTACAAAGCTGAAAAATAAGAACTGTATTTAAAAGTAAAAAAAAATAATTTATTACTTTTTCGGTTATCAGCTTTAAATTGTTTGCAATTGTTTGAATGAGTCAATGCATGAGTCGAAAAATCAATTTTAATTAAACAAAAGACAAAATACCCATATTAAAATAACAGAAGAAATATTGAATTAGATTTTTTATATTTTTTGTAAAATTTATTTTACATATATAAAAATAGCCATGTTCTTCTAAATAAATTCATTCACATATATACTTATTATAATGATAATTATTAAATAGTTATTGAAAGTTTCAAATATTATATTTTATAGACCAACAGGAAGTTATATTTTATTTCCTTCATAAATTTAAAATATCATTGCATGACCTTGAACAAAATTATAATGAAATATGTATGTATAAGCTTATTAAAAATACCCTATAATTGCAGGCAGTGGATGCAGCTCGCTTCGTGGACACCCTGTACACGTGGTCGGCCTTCAACACGGAGGAGATTGGCGAGAACATAGCCCTGGGATTGGTGAAGCTGCTGAACGTGATGCCAGTGGAGAACATCCACCTGATTGGCCACAGTTTGGGTGCCCACATAGTGGGATCCGCAGGTCGGCACTTGCAGCGCCTGACCGGTAAGATAGTGCCCCGGATTACGGGATTGGATCCGGCCAAGCCCTGCTTCAACGAGGGTGAAGTTCTCTCGGGACTTTTGCGAGGAGATGCCCATTTCATCGACGTCATCCACAGCAATTCCGGAGTGCTGGGCAAACGGGATCCGTTGGGCGATGTGGACTTCTATCCGGGCGGAATGGGACCTCTGCCCGCGGGCTGTTTCTCGGTGACCTGTGCCCATGCTCGGTCGTGGGAATACTACGCAGAGACCGTGTATCCGGGCAACGAGCGGAACTTCATGGCCAGCCGATGCAGTTCGATGGACCGACTCCGGGAATCACGCTGTCCGGGCGACGAGGTGCCCATGGGCTATGCCGTGCCGGTGACTGTCAAGGGCAACTACTTCCTGGAGGTCAGCGCCGAATCGCCCTTCGGCAAGCACGCCTCCATTGTGCGAACGTCCTATTTGGAACACTGCGGCAAGTGTCCCGACGCCTCAACAACCTCGACCACCTCGGCGCCGACTTCCTCAACCCCAGTGAAATCACGATCCTGGTTCTGAGGCATCCCGTCCTCTCGAAATCCATCCTAAGCTATTCTTACCTTTGTTTTTTTTTTCACAACTAATATTTTTTTCTGGTCGATATGCAGTTTGCCTTATAAGCGTTGGCAACTTAACTAAATTGGTGCTTTTTATGCTTACGCAAAGCCCGAAAATGGATATGGGGAAGTGGGAATACCGTTTATGTGATACCGAAGGAATTTGTTTAGATGACGAAGCGTTTTAAACACCATACATGTGCCTATCCAAATAAATCAAAGCAAAAAATGTATGTTCATTACTTGAAGGTTGCTTAATTGCTTGGTGTTTTAATTTAAGTAAATATTTATTGAATACTTTCTTATTCTTTCTTTAAATCTGTGCTATAGTTTGCATAACAACAGTATAAGCGAATAAATATATTAGACTTCAATACATGCTAATTATTTATTATTATCTGGATTTTCAACAAGAAATTCAAACATTCGCCAAAAAATATCAATATTTTCACCATAACAATGAAAGTAATAGTTTAATTATGGAATGCCATCCTTTATTGAGCTCGTTATAAAATTCTTAAATGATATGTATTCAAATCTTTTTTTTGCGCAAATTTTTGTTTAAAAAAAGTTTAAAAAGTGGATAAAAAATTATTAAATTATAAAATTATAATACAATTTTTGGCGCCATAATTTGAAGGTATATTTATTAAGTAATCTTAAAGTCAGTGCCTTGACTATAGCGTTCCTTCTTGTTTACATTGAATTCATTATCAATATGTTTGATATTTGACATTTGGAACTAAAAGAAGTCGGTTCTTAACTTAGTCTAAATAAGTCTATAGAATTATTCAAACTGATATTACAAATATTTTTCCAGTGTATATTTCATTTCACTATCAGTGACATGGACAAATAATCCAAATAATTTTCTCAGAGAGTGTGCAACTCTCAGTTGTGCGGTAAGAGAGTTCAGAATTCTGGGAATAGCCAATTAAATCTAGTTTTGGCTGTACAAACCAAAGAACTAGCTCTTGGGTTCTATAGATAGGACTGTAACTTGGTGTCCGGCATTCAGTATTCGTCAAGATCTTGTCCAGAATGGGAGGAATGGCGCCAAAGATGCTTCCGGTCCAGGTGCTTGTGCTCCTTCTCCAGATTCTGGGTCTCTCGCAGTCCATCGAATTTACACTGCCGGATCCAATTGGTAACCTCAGGAATATAAGCACCAGCATTTTGAATCTCGACCTGCTGCCCACGCCCGAAGGAATCTTCGAACTCAGCAAAGATGTCGTCGCCGGTTATCCCTTCCAAATCGTCTCCAGCACCGTCAATTTTATATGTGAGTGTCTTTTGAGGTCAAAATTATGATCCAAACGATATATTCGTATGAAAAAACAATTAATTTGAGCCATTTTTTTTATTTTAAGAATTTAAAAAATAATCTTTTTAAATAAAACGAAAAAAATATAAAAACATTCTTGAATTAATGGTTTTCAGAAACCGTTTTCTAATTAAGAATAAAGTAAGTTTAAAGATTAAAGTATATATCAATAGAATGATATTAACATAACCCAATTTTACTGGAATAAAATGTATTTATTTTAAATAATATTGAAATCAAAGACTTTATAGAAGATGGAATATTTAACATTTAGAAATCCTCATGAATAAATGTATTTTCTCAGGTTCCAAGGCTCTGTCCACCAACGTAATCCGGCCGAAATTTACGCCGGACATCAATCTGATGAACTTTCAACTACAGACGGCTTGCACGAAGGCTGACTTTCCGCTCACCAATGCAGAGGAAATGTGGATGAGCCCTCTATTCGATCCCAAAAAGAAGGTGGTTATTCTGGCCACCGGATGGACCACCACAGTCAATGGATCGGATACCATCGAGGAGTTATCAAGGGCCTATAATTGTCGCGGCGATGTCAACTTTGTGGTGAGTAATAGCTTTTTGTTTTTATAAATACCTTAATTTTATATTTTTTTTAAAACAATTACTAATTAGGAAAGTAGTTTCCATAAATAATATAACTGATATGATTTCAAAAAGGTTGGTTTCGTTTACAAACAGGTTCAACCCATGAGCCCTGAATTCAATTTGAATATTATTTGTTAGCAAAACTATTGCAGTTCAATCTGAATGTAAAATAACTCGGTAATCAGCTTAAAATTGTATGCAATGAGTTAATTGTATTAAATATCAATTTCTTATATTTATTAAAGCTAAATCCACCCATTAATATCGGAAATTTTTGCTAATATTAATAGGTAAATAAATAATTGTAGATAGTTTAAAATTTAATACTTTTTAAATTAACATGAAATTCGATTTAATTTTGTAGATAAACGTAACATATAGTATACCAATTTTGTAATTTAAATTAATTGCAGGCAGTGGATGCAGCTCGCTTCGTGGACACCTTGTACACGTGGTCGGCCTTCAACACGGAGGAGATTGGCGAGAACATAGCCCTGGGATTGGTGAAGCTGCTGGACGTGATGCCGGTGGAGAACATCCACCTGATTGGTCACAGTTTGGGTGCCCACATAGTGGGATCCGCAGGTCGGCACCTGCAGCGCCTGACCGGTAAGATAGTGCCCCGGATTACGGGATTGGATCCGGCCAAGCCCTGCTTCAACGAGGGTGAAGTTCTCTCGGGACTTTTGCGAGGAGATGCCCGTTTCATCGACGTCATCCACAGCAATTCCGGAGTGCTGGGCAAACGGGATCCGCTGGGCGATGTGGACTTCTATCCGGGCGGACTGGGACCCCTGCCCGTGGGCTGTGTATTGGTGACCTGCGCCCATGCCCGCGCCTGGCAATATTTCACGGAGACCGTGTATCCCGGCAATGAGCGCAACTTTTTGGCCGCACGCTGCACATCGCTTTCTGGACTCCGGCAATCCCTCTGCAGGAGTGAGGAGGTGCCCATGGGCTACGCCGTGCCGCACAATGTCAAGGGCAACTACTTCCTGGAGGTCAGAGGCAATTCGCCCTTCGGCATGAATAGCTCCCCTGTGCGATCCTCCCATTTGGGACAGTGCGGCCAGTGCCCAGAAGCCTCAACGATCACGGTTGCCCCAACCACGCGAAGCTCGTGGAGATTCGGGTTCTGAGACATCCCATTCGCACGCAATCAATCCTAAGCTACTACTAGTTTTTGGTGGCCAACACCGACCCGATTGCGGTCGATATGCAATTCACAATTTGTCTTCCAAGCGTTGACAATTCAATTAAGTTTGTGTTTATTATGCTTATGCAAATCCCAAAAACAGAGTTAAGGAGAATCACGAAGTTGGAATACTGTTTAGAAGTAGCGATAGGAAAGAGAAATTATGGCGAAGGAACCAGAAAATGCATTTTTTAAAAAGTATAATAAATAAATATAAAATTATATTTTGAAAAGCTTGCTACTTTTGTATTTAATAACCTTGATGTTCCAAAGTATACATATAATTGCCGAGCCGAAACCTAATTGATTATAATCTGTTAAAAACGTTGTCAGAAAGACATATTCCATTTTATTGCATTTGAATTAATCTTCTCTAAATATTTTAAAGAAACAATTTTATTATTTCGTTATTTTGTTAGATGTCTTATTAATTTATTATATGAATAATAACTTAAGACAAGCGCTGGGTACATTTTTGATGGCAATGATTAATCATCTTTAAAACGTTAATTATTACTATATATTATTATATCAAGCGGTTACGAATGGAAAACCTATTACGTGGTGCCAAATTTTTGGGTAAATCATAATACCCCATGGAAGAAAACCGAAAGATAAATAACCTGTAGAAAAGAGGCCGCGTTGTCGCCATTGACATAAGCTCATAATTGTTGACTGTCGACTGGAGTTGGCTTTACTGTTGACTATTATCTGAGTATCTGAGTATTTGAGTGGCGCCCAGGTACAGTGGGACCGGAGATTGGCGGAAATTACCAGTGGAATTGGATGTCGTCGGGCTTGGTTTGAGATGAGTTTTACAGCCGACTTAAGGCCAGCCGCCTTAGTCGGTGAATGTTGTTGTCGGGGTAGCGACGATCTCATCTCTCTTCTATGATCGATCGATGATATCTAATGGCCTGGATGTCCTAGATGAATTTGCATCTACATTAGTAGAAAGTTGACTTTTAAATGGGGATAATGGTTTATTTAAAATGAATAGCTTTGCTCTATAAACTAGTTGTTTAATGGGCCAAGTTTTTAATTCGAAAAATATGTATATATTTTTTATGACATGTCGGGACTTTCCCATGTCCTTCGACTGACCATCATGATCAGGAAATGCCATCGCCCAGATCCAGTTACCTTTCGCGCTGATCTCTCCACTGTGCCCCTCGATTTTGAGTTGTTTTTTTTTTTTTGGCCCCTTCACCTGGGATCTGCATCTGCATCTTTATATGCATCTCCATTTGCAAGTGTCTCCGTTTGCGGCTTTAGCTGCCAGTTTGACAAATGACTCACCCGACGCCAGCTTCTGCGGCTTAAGCCAAAGATCACTGACAGCACTGAGATAAAAGTAAAAAGGATTGCGTCAAAAATCATAACTAATATTTTGAGAGTCCCATAAAATCGGTTTTAAAAATTGTTTAGGTGGTCGTTTCAAAATTATATAAATGCTAACAAAAAACACAAAACAAAACAAAGCTCATAAGGAGCACTAAGAAAAAATATAAATAAATAAATATTCCTAAATAAATAATAATGCAAATATTAACAACAAATCAATATGTAACACCACATATAAAATGAAAGTAAAAGATATACTTATTTAAGCTGGCATAAAACAGTATTTTGTAGGCCAAAGTTATATTTTTGATCGGCATAACTACGTGATATATGTAAATGTCTTTAGCAAATTTCTAAGTCCAATACTTTTAGCCTGTGAACAATTGAAATGATGTAGCCCACTTTTTCTTTGTGTGTAGCTCTGCTGCAGTTTCCGCCAGCAGCGAGGCGAGGAAATGATCCATCAAGCGTGTGAGTTATGTACGAATTTTGCAACTTGGCCACATGGTTGGCTGACTTGATGTTGATGGCTATGTGGCTACATAGCTGTGGCTTCTGCTTGTAAAGCGGTTGACCCTGGTCAAGAATCGTACGCTCAAAGTGGTTTAATAAACTGCAATTACCCAACCTGGAACAGCCACCCGCGAGATTTATTTTGTGGATTCTCGACCAGATTAGTATGAGCCACTTTTTGCCGCTTTATTGCCGTTTTGCCATAAATAGCGAGGTGCGATTCAGTGGTTACAGCATTCGAGTGCTACACTTCGAGACGCACAGCAAAAAACACCCGGGATATACACACGCACCCAGAAGTCAGGACCCAAAACTAAAATCTGAAAACTAAAAACTCAGAGCAAGATGAAGGTGTTCATTGTACTGTGCGCATTGGTGGCCTGCGTTTCCGCAGGAGTGGTGCGATCCTCGGGCTGGGGATCGAATCCTTGGGGCGGCAGCAGTTCGGGCTGGAACAGTGGGTGGACCGCCCAACAGCCGCAGGTCATCAAGGTCATCAAGCTCGGAGGAGGCGGTGGCGGCCACTCTGGATGGGGCAATAGCGCCGGATGGGGTGGCAACTCCGGATGGGGCAGCGGCAGCTCTGGCTGGAGCAGCGGCAACTCTGGATGGGGCGGCAATTCCGGATGGGGCGGCGGCAACTCTGGCTGGAGCAGCGGCAACTCTGGATGGAACGGAAACTCCGGATGGGGCAGCGGCAACTCTGGCTGGAGCAGCGGCAACTCTGGATGGTGGTAAAGGATTAGGATTACCTCTAAGCCCAACACACAATCACAATCCCAATACCAATCCCAAATCCCTTTCTCTCTGCACCTGGTTCACACTTCACATGATTTTGTAACATAGTTTTTAAGTACCAATTTTTTTGTATCAGATAAATAAATGCTTAAGTCAAATGCATAAATGCAACTCCGAAAGGGGTAGTGGCAACTGTGAATTTTGCGGAAACACCAGTTGGGGCATTGCAACTCTGGCTGAAACTGCAGCGGCAACTCTGGGTGGGGCGAAAACTCCGCATGAAGCTGCAGCAGTGGCAACCCTATGGTAAGGAATAAGAGCCAAACCCAACACACAATCCCAAATCCCCTTTCTGCGCACCTGGCTCAAACTTCACACGATTTTGTAAGTTTTTAAGTAGCAATTTTTTTGTAACTAATAAACAAATGATTCAATCAAATGCATAAATGCAACTAGTTTAGCATTTTTATGATGCATCTTTGAATTATGGATCGTTAGCAATTAACATTCTAAACTTGAGAAGCGAGTATCTCTGGCTGTGAGCAATTATTTATATTTTATGCATTTTGCAAATGATTGTGGAACAGCGCCGTGGTGGCCAAGGTAGTGATGCGAGTGGAGTTCAGCGAAGATCATCATTATCATCATCTCGGGACGGTGGCACGGTGGTTCCATTTTCAAAACCACTTAAACATGTTATGGGGCTATGCCTTAAGTTTATTTGTAGGGAAATCGACTTGTTTTTTAATCCATTTTTTATTAGCCTTAACTCTTTGTTGTTTAGCCTTTGTAATAAAACCCAAAATTTAAATATTATTGGAAATTGATTGAAACTCAGACACCTTGTCAAGTGTTTTATACATGTTTTTGTATAATAGAAACAATTATAAATGAGCAAATATAAAACTTAACAATTTTAATAATCAATTCTAAAATTGAACACATATATTTCGTATAGATGTCAAAAATTATAATACATGACTTGAAACCTGATTATTTAATTTTCTTTAACTAATTTGTTTTACTACTTTTTTTAAATTTCCCTTTTGATGGGACCTGCAAATACCACTGTATGCAGACAATTTTCTGTGGCTCCGACGAGGTTATCTTGTGGACTTGGCTTAGTGTGTTTATCTGCAGCACGCGTTGGCAGCCAACAAAAGCCATACGGCCATATTCACAGACACATCACATCACACACATAGGAGTTGATGAAATTTATGGTAAGTAATGCACTTGAGCATGCACCCAGCCATGTTTGAACACCAATTGACATTGAACCAGTGTCTGCGGAGTCGTGTCTCGCACATTTAGCGATTCAATTGCGGCTGCTGTATAAATGAAGATTAATTACCGCAAATATTGCATGGCGAAGCCGAAAATGAACATAAATACGAAATGAAAATTATAGGAAAATCGATTGTTTATGATGACCATTTAAATGCTCTGCGGCATGGGAAAAATTAGAGATTTTTAGGTTAAGTCCCCATTTAAATCTTTATTGCTGCTGCTTTTCATGAGTAAAAGTTAGTCTTAATCATTTTTAAAATTGCTTTCAATAAGTGTCTTTTGTTTATTAAAATAATTAAAAACTACTGATTAACGTTTAGATTGTTACCTAAAATATTTTTTTTTAATTTATGCACAAATCAAAATAAAATAAATACATATCTATGTTTAATTCACGAAAGATTCTCACACCCCCAACGTCGTCAAATGTGTTCCATAAATTCTATACTTTATTTAACAACGTCAAGCGGCAAGACTTTAATAATAATTAAGAAAATTCAACAACAAATTGCACGGCCAACAAAAAAAGAATGCTTAGAATTTCGCATGGAAATAGTAAACTTGTAAGACAAATTGCAAAGCGTTTCGTGGCCAAATGTGCAGTGTGCTATGTAAGCTGGCAATTAATGATGCAGCCATGGCTCAGCAGTTTGCAAGTGGTGCGGTGGCGTATGCGCGATGTTCCCAGGTTGGCGCACATTGCGTATCCGCCGAGTGCGCCGCCGTACTTGAGACTTTTTCGAGCCAGCCGCATTGTGCAAAGCCGACATGAAGTGCAGTTCTCAACCTTCCTTTGGGAGCTCGAATCGTCATCGAATATAGTTGGAGGGATGGCAGGCTGCTGACTCAGCCGAAGTTTCCGCCTTCGAGAGCTATAAAAACTTGCCTCAGTTCTGGGTTACTTCATCAGTGGTGTTTAGAGCCTCCAGCAGCGATTGCACAGCGGTTCTAAGTCGTTGTACTCCCTTTATTTTTTTGTATTTTTTTCGAGTGATATTTAAGGATGCGTCACGCTCTGATCCTTGCTTTTGTGTGCGGTCTGTTGATCGCCTTCGCCTCGGCCGGTTTGCTGGGCGGAGGAGGCGGTGGTGGGGGCTACGGAGGGGGCGGCGGTGGACAAGGAGGCTGGCAGCAGAACGGAGGAGGAGGCGGTCATGGGGGCGGTGGACAAGGAGGCTATGGCGGCGGTAGCCAAGGTAAGTGTATTTAAGTTATATATGCCCCCAAAGCTTCACCACTTGTTATGACACAAAGTCCTTGTTTTTCCTTTACCCTCAATTATATAAATACAATTTTATCTAAATGTATCCATATTTTTTTTAAACATGGGTCCTTCTTTTGCAAACCGAACACCTTTTATTAAGTCACAATTTTGATTTACCTATTTTTCTTAAAATAATTCTATTGAAAAACTTATAGGAAACTTATTGTAATCTAACAAGTTTACGCTAAACACATCCTATAATTTTCGTAGTTTTAAGTGTCTAAACAGTTTAGGTATCTAAATTGTTGTTATTTTGTTATTTGCAAATATTTATTTTTTTTACACTTTTAGGTGGACATGGAGGCCAAGGAGGCTGGCAGAAGAATGGCGGAGGCGGTGGTGGAGGTCATGGAGGGGGCGGTCATGGTGGGGGTGGATATGGGGGTGGTGGACAGGGCGGCTACGGAGGCGGTAGTCAAGGTAAATATATTTATTGAATTGCCTATAATGTTCCATTTAATATATCCATAAAATATTTCATTATTCATACATCAATGATAATATTTATAATTGTAAATGGACCATTTGATACTTCCAGGTGGCCATGGACAGGGAGGCGGACAAGGGGGCTATGGAGGCGGTGGCCATGGAGGTGGCAGCAGGTCCTTGGCCGGAAACCGCGGAAATTCCGTATCCTGGCAGGGCACCAGTGGAGGCAACAACAAACACGGAGGAGGCGGCGGAGGAGGCGGTGGTCTTTACGGGGGCGGCGGCGGTGGTGGCAACAAGCATCACGGCGGTGGTTGGTAAATGCCCGACCAAGTTCACCTAATCTCACCCACCCGGCATGTGTTCCATGGCAAAGAGATAGAGATAACCCCCTGCTTCTTCCCGTTTTCCTCTATCCGAAGCCCTTCTGTTTCAACTTTTACTTTTTTTTGTACTAATAAAACTATATTATGCATTTTGTATATGACTGTTTTCTCTTTTAAAAAAACTAAAAATACTTACTAGTTTTATAACATTGTAGAAATTTACATTTTTTTGTTCATTTCTCCACAAGAATGACTGTTTTGTTCAGTTAGTGACCTATACTATCCATCCCCGGTCGATACCAAAAAAAAAAAAATGTTGACCAATTTTTGCATTTTTGATAAACATTTGCAGAAATTTGAAAATCTGAAAAAATGCCATTCTATTGGCAATTTAATTACGAATTCAACGGTGTATGACATTTCAACATTTGACCATTATTTCCCAGGGCTTTGACACAAAAATGAAGTTTTTAATGTGTTTTCTGGGGTTTTTGGCGATTTTTCTGAAGAGTCTTTTTGCTGTAACTTTTCCAAAACAAGACCCAAAGTCAAAAGAGTAGCTGTTTTGAACAGCTCACAATTTATACCATTAATCACTGATCGATTGAAAACAATTAATTCAGTTTTGGCAAAAAAACCGAATTTTGAAAACCGTTTTTTGAAAAATTTATTTTTGTCCAAATTTCTGACTTTTTTGTAAGGGGGTACATCATCATTTTTTTGCAGAAATTTGAAAATCTGAAAAAATTTTAACTGTGAATGTCATTTGATTGGAAATTTTATTACGAATTCAACGGTGTATGTCATTCCACATTTTGACCATTATTTCCCAGGCTTTTGAAACAAAAACCAAGTTTTTAATGTGTTTTTTGGGATTTTTGGCGATTTTTCAAACAAAATTATTTCCGAAGAGTCTTTCTGTTGTAACTTTGCCAAAATAAGACACATAGTCAAAAGAGTTGCTATTTTGAAAAGCTGGCAACCTATACCATACATTCCTGATCGTTCGAAAACAATTAATTTAGTTTTGGCACAAAAACCGAATTTTGAAAAACGTTTTTTGAAAAATTTATTTTTGTCCAAATTTCTGACTTTTTTGTAAGGGGGTACATCATCATTTTTTTGCAGAAATTTGAAAATCTGAAAAAATTTTAACTGTGAATGTCATTTGATTGGAAATTTTATTACGAATTCAACGGTGTATGTCATTCCACATTTTGACCATTATTTCCCAGGCTTTTGAAACAAAAACCAAGTTTTTAATGTGTTTTTTGGGATTTTTGGCGATTTTTCAAACAAAATTATTTCCGAAGAGTCTTTCTGTTGTAACTTTGCCAAAATAAGACACATAGTCAAAAGAGTTGCTATTTTGAAAAGCTGGCAACCTATACCATACATTCCTGATCGTTCGAAAACAATTAATTTAGTTTTGGCACAAAAACCGAATTTTGAAAAACGTTTTTTGAAAAATTTATTTTTGTCCAAATTTCTGACTTTTTTGTAAGGGGGTACATCATCATTTTTTGCAGAAATTGGAAAATCTGAAAACATTTTAACTTTGAATGCCATTTGATTGGAAATTTTATTACGAATTCAACGGTGTATGCCATTCCACATTTTTACAATTATTTCCCAGAGTTTTGACACAAAAACCAAGTTTTTAATGTGTTTTTTGGGATTTTTCGCGATTTTTCAAACAAAAATATTTCTGAAGAGTCTTTTTGCTGTAACTTTGCCAAAACAAGACCCATAGTCAAAAGAGTTGCAGTTTTGAACAGCTGGCAACCTATACCATCCATCCCTGATCGTTTGAAAACAATTAATTGAGTTTTGACCAAAAAACCGAATTTTGAAAATCGTTTTTTGAAAAATTTGTTTTTGTCCAAATTTCTGATTTTTTTGTAAGGAGGTACATCATCATTTTTTGCAAAAATTGGTTAAATCTAAACATTTTTAACTGTGAATGCCACTCGATTGGCAATTTAATGACGAATTCGCCGATGTATGAAATTCCTTCTTTCGACCATTACTTCTCAGCGTTTTGATAGAAAAACAGATTTTTTAGCTCTTTTTTTTGGGTTTTTGTCAAAAAAAAATCCTTAAGAGTAATTTTGTTGTAATTTAGACGTATAGCCATAAAAGTGACTGTTTTATGTAGTCTAAGAGTCTTTCAAATAACAAGTTAGAATGATACGAAACACTTACCCTCTTCCAAAAAACAACTCGTTCACAAATACATTCTCGTAAGATTTATTCACATATTTAGATACACAAAAAAAAAAGTTGGATAAAGATAAGGGCAGAGAAAATGTTATGTACAAGCTGAGCAGTTTAATCGCCTTAATGTCGCCGGCTAGCCTCGGTTCTGTGTGGTCTCTTGTCCGGGATTCGTTTACCAGCTCCAGCCGCCGCTTCCGCCGGAGGACCATCCGCCGTTGCCACCACCACCGCCGGAGGACCAGCCACTGCTGATCTTGCTGGGCCAGCCGGAGGATCCTCCGCCGGAGGACCAACCGCCGCCGCCTCTAGAACCACCAGATGACCAGCCGCCTCCCGATCCTCCAGATGACCAGCCACCGCCTCCACCACTCTTCCAACCGCTGCTCAGGCTACTCAAAGCCTGCGATTTCCAGCCGGAGAGACTGGACAGGGCACTGGATAATCCTGAACTGCCGCCGGACTTCCAGCCGGAGGAGCCGCCGGAACTGGGCCAGCCAGAGGATCCGCCGCCGGAGGACCAACCACTGGAACCACCGCCGCTCTTCCAGCCGCCGCCTCCAGAGCCACCGGATGACCAGCCGCCACTACCGCCGCCGCTCTTCCAGCCACCTGATCCTGATCCGCCCGAGGACCAACCTCCTCCGCCGCCACTGGAAGGCCAGGCACTGATGATGACCTTGCTGCCGCCACCAGAGGACCAGCCACCTCCGCCACTGCTCCAGCCATGTGGCTTGCCCTGGGCCACAATGCCACCCAGCACCACCAGCAGACCGAGAAGGCCAAGTCGTCGCGTTGTGGTTTGCATCTCCGCAGCTGCCGTGCACTAACTAATGCCCCACTGCAGCCACTCTCGTCTATTTATACCCATCCAAGATTCTGAGCCAGTGAGCCACTGAGCCACTGAGCCACAGCTTCGCCACAGCAACTGCCTCGTATAATCAGATGTAATTGCCAAAACTGCCAAGCGAACAACTCACAATGGCCAGTGGTTGGGCTTGGATTGGGTGGCTCTGAGTGGCTCAGAGTGACTCGGAGTGGGTCGGGGAGGCTCGGGGTGGCTCAAGTCACCTCAGCACTTGGGGCTCATTATGTCGACTCCAACTTTCGATTTCGTACGCTTTGTAGGTCTGCGTCTACTGTTCTGCGCCCAGCAAAACGCCTCCAGATGGAGCACCACCTGACTCTACTTTGCAGGGAACACTGGACTACAGCTGGTCCAAGGCCTTAATGATAAGGTATAGAAACCACTAGCGCTTTGAAATCTTTTATAAAGATGCTACGAATTAAACAGTGAACATCGTTATGAATCTCCGAAAATTCCATGTTCATAATAAAAGAGATTTAAAAAACGTTAAGGATTTTTGTAAGACCCTTTTTAAATTAAATATGAAAATATGAACAAGAAATAATAAGACTATTAAAAGAAATAACAGAATATATATAGATTTAAAGAAATTTTAAAAATGTAATTGATTTGTGGGCTAGTGTAGCTCAGGTGCACTGATACCGCATCATGATCATCGATCTATTTGGCTCTCCATTTTTATGTAGCAACCGCAAAGTACTTAATTGAGTACGCCTGCCAGCGTTAGGATGGCTGTGATGGCAAGATATAGAGCCAGGGATCGATACCGATATCTGGCGATCCGTTCTTTATGCCTGCCCATTATTCAGAATGGCGATGGCGATGGCGATACAGATGGAATTGGATATGGTATTGGTATTGGAATTGCAGATGGAGGTGTGCGATGGAAGGCAGCTGCGTGTTTGTCTTCGTGTTGCTACCGTTTTGCGGTTGCACATAATTCGTGCTGTCTGGCAAATCGGGTCGCCTCGCTGGCAAATCAATCAATATCAATCAATCAATCGGGGGCTTGGGCTCAATTGTTCGGGTGCAACTTATGAGTTGACACAGAGCCCATCACGAGAGAATGACTGGGCTGGCTAGAAGGTGTCATTGTATTTTTATTATTCCAAAGATGCAGATCATTTCATTTCGTCATCAACATAAATTAAATCAAAATAAAAAAATCAAGCTGAATGTTATGTACCCTTTAAGCTGTTGCAAAAATTGAGTAATTATAAGCTGACACATATAATCATAGCACCATAAAAATAGCACCATCCCAAATCTAAAACCAAAATTACAATGAATTTAATTTGAGAATTGAATAACACACTTATAAATAAACACACTTCAAATAAATTTTATAACACTCGTATAACACTTTTATTTCTCAATGAACAACGAGCTCTATGAGCCATACCACATAATAATCGTATAAAATTTTAATTTGTCAATTATAAAAACATTATTTTTAAATACATAAGAATTTTTAAAAGAACTCATTAGTTCCATAATAAATTTAACAAATAATCTAACAAATAATAATAATAATAAAATGCATAAATTTTTTCAAAAGCTTTAATAGGTTATTAGTCACTTTTAGGAATTCTAAGCATGGAAAGCTTCTTAAAAATACATAATTTATTGAGATACAAACTAAACAAAAAAAAAAAACAAAATGTATATTCATAAATCAGTCTCTGGCACAAAGAGTAGAATGAATATTTTCTAGAAATTAATGTCGGCCTATCTTGTCCCCAAAATGCTAATTATACACGACGCTGATCGAAACCAATTCTACGGGTAGAACCGAACCACTTGAACCTTTTGGCTTTTGCACGTTTCCACCGCTGGCCGCATTTTAATTCATGGGCGGTATAAAACTCAAATTGGGCCTTTTGTTTGCGAGTGCGATCAACTGCCAGTCGTTTGCAGTTTAAATGATCGATGTGGCTTGGCTGTGGAAAACAATAAAATGCACTTTTTTGCTTGCGCAAGAGCTGCGCCAAGTGGAAAATCGCCTAAGTACCTGTCCCATTAACTGGCATCCATTCGATTGGCAGGTGATGACCTCAACCATTTTCGGCCATTGGGTCAGAGCAGGAAGCCAAACTTCAACCGGTTCCCCGATCCCAGTCACAAAACAGACTCAATTAAAAATGGAAATTCTTTTCTTGTCTATATTGCATAAATTCTAACAATCAAATACCGCTAAAAAAAAAAATAATAAAAAAATATTATATATTAAAACCTAAGCTGCTTGGCTTTTTGGTTGGCAGTTTGAACTATTTGTGGTTGGCTTTTTGGTTGATTACCAGCCCTTGTTCCAGCCGCCAGACTGGGAGCCACCACCGTTGGACCATCCTCCAGACTGGGCGCCACCATTGGACCATCCACCAGACTGGGCACCGGAGTAGCCACCGGAGTAGCCGCCACCGGAGTGACCGCCGCCGGAGTAGCCCTCGCTGATGACCTTCACGATGACGACCTTCTCCACGGGAGCAGAGTATCCACCGCCGCCGGAGTAGCCGCCACCGCCGGAGTAGCCACCGCCGCCGGAATATCCACCGCCGCCGGAGTATCCACCGCCGCCAGAGTATCCACCGCCTCCTCCGCCGAGCTTTCCGCTCAGACCGCCCAGGCCGCCGCCCAATCCACCGCCGAGACCGCCCAGTTTGCTCTGCAGCAGTTGGCCAATGCCACCAGCTCCTCCGCCGCCACCGCCTCCTCCAAGAAGTCCGCCCAGAGAGGCCTGACCAACGGACAGGATGGCGGCTAGGATCACCAGGATGCAGGCAAAGGGTTTCATTGCGACTGGACTTCAAATGTAGTTACTATCGGTTGCGAACAGCTGACCAAACTAATTCCATCGTCGGCCAGAGCACGCACCTTTATACCCCCGAAAAATCGAAAAAATCGAAAGAAATCGATGCGAATGAGATGAGATGATGGGGGGAGGGGAGAAGGGGCCCAATTAGAAGCCATTGATGAGCAGAGCGTTTGCGACTGCGATTTCATAATAACCCACATTCGGTTATGCTCGCCGGCGGTTCTTTTGTTTGCCTATGCTAATCCGTGCGCATGCGCGGCTCACTTCGGATGAGGAACCGCTTCTCCTCCAGTTTGCACACTGGGTTGGGGGTGTTAAATCGTCGCCGGCGTTGGGAAATCTATTGACAACGTTATCCACGCCTTGATGACAAGGGCACACAATTTGGTTTATCAGAAAATTACTATCATTTTTGTGTCCGCTGAAGACATTGATATTTCTTATTAAATGGATTATTACGAAATTAAGAATAGGTACATAATTGCCTACAGCAATCGGTATAAAACTCAAAGGGTCACTGAAGCTGTAATCAGATTCCTTTATAAGAATATTCGAAAATATTTACCTGCTGCATTTAATTAAAAGCGTAATTTGCTTTCCTATATTGTATTAAAAACATGTTTAGCTTTTAGGCTTAACATCATCATCTAGATTAAATTTTTATTATAAATTATTTTTCTTCCCATTTCTGCACTCTAATCTTTTTTTCTAACAAGCAGCTTAAATAAACTGTAGGTGTCTTCAAGTTTTCATTTTCTGCAGTATTTGTATAAATTGCAAAAATTATCATCATTTGTCATAAATGTTATAAAACTATTCTCTTTTAACTTTTTTAATCATTTTGATGTAAATATCAAGAAAATAATGATTCGAAATAATATTGGCAAAATAGGACAAATGATTAGTTTTCTTTACACTTAATATGAAGTGCTCCAATAAATTCAGCTAGAGAATCTGCTGTGCTTAGACCACTGTGCCAATCGCCGAATCTCAAACAAATTATCAGCATTTAATCACCGCGGCTGGTGGCGGGCAACAATGGGTCGACAATCAACATTTATATCAATGTTTTGTCAGTTGGCCAGCAGAGAGTTTTTGGCCAAAAGCAGAAGCTGAAGCAGAAATAGAAGCAGCCGAAGTGTCAAACTGATGAATGATGAAATCGTGAGTTCTGCTCCAAGGTTCAGACTTAAAAGTTGGGAGGTGGAAACTAAGTAATCTTCCTGCTTTGGCCAAGAATCATCGACTTGTCGCTTGGAGGCCTATTCAAGTGATCTGGGGTATACAATACCCAATACCCATGCCCATATTCCACATCATCGTTTATTAATACGTGGAACCGGTTGACCGATTCTATTTCTATGCTTCAGTTTGGCATATATTTGCATAGTGGCTCGGCGGATATGGCAGATTGCCTGGGAATTTTTCGTAAGACCCCTAGTTGTCGGTACTAAGCCGCAAGATAAACACTCTTCAGGGAACTCTCCCACAAGTCAAAGAGTTCATTGCACTCCTCTAGCACACGCCTCGGCTATCGAACAAAACAAAAAAAGTCTACACAAAAAGAAGACAGTTTCGTTTTTTTTTATTTGCAACTCTGGCCAATTCGTTTCAGCGTTTGGCATTTACATACTCGTTCTGGGCTCTATAAATATTCATAATCGTATTATTCGATTATACTTCACGCTGTAAGCTACCGATACGACGACAGATCGACGGAAATTCGATGGGTTACTTATCAATTAAGTGGAAAACAAGTTGGCCAAGCGCAAAGAAGTAGCAAACTATAAAGTGCTTTTCTGGGTCTAAAAAAGAAGAGTGATGGACACTCGAGCTATTCAGATGCTAGGAAATATACATTTTAATTAGATTTCCTCATTACCAATTTATTGACTTTATTAATTATCTTATATAAAATTTCCTAAAAATTTAATTAACTATATAACGAATCGAATTGTTTTTATTTATTTTATAGATTTGTATACCTATTGAATTAGACATATGAAATTATAATAATGATGCTTTAAAACTTATCTTTAACTAAACAAATCAGAATTTTTATATTTTAAAGGATGAAATTAGTTTTCAAACTTTAAGCTAGTCATAATACAATGTAAATATTATGATAATAAATAGCTATTTATTTTTGAGCCTGTTTTACAATCCCTTTCATTGTGCAAAGTAAAATAAATTAAGAAATTTCATGATTTTTAAGGGAAACATTTAAAGTTCTATTTGAATATATACATAATACTTAAGTGTGTGTTTTTTGGAGTCGTTTCTGGTTTGCTCACTAGCCAACTGAGACCAGGTCAAATCGGACTGTCGGCCAGAACCCATCTTCCATTTAGTGTCCAGCCCATTGTTAAGCCAAGATGCGAATGTGGCGAAACGGATGGTATAGTATAGTGTAGAATAGTATAGTATTGTTTTTAGTATATCTGCCTTACAATGGCGGCTATATTACCGGGCTGAAATGACCGAACCTACAAAACTATTTCCCATCACATCGCCTTCGGACGGCTGAAGGCTTACATTAAAAAAACAAAAAACAGAATTAACATATTTAATTGCGAGTTATGTAGCCAAATGAAATTACCAGTGAAAAGTAAACACAAAGGCAAATATGGATAATCCGAAAAGTGAACGGAATTAATGCTGCTGTTTGAGTGGAGAACTTTGGCTAGATGCGATGGGATGACTCGTCATCTTAAATGGGAGGGCATTACGGCTAAAATTGATGACACTCATAAATAAGTTGGTAATATGTATGATAATAACTAATATTGTACCGACATTAATTCCATTCCAAGCGAATTTGCAAGCTTGCATAGAAAATTGCCGTGCCATCGCATTTGCCTTTTTATGGCGAATCCATCAGACACATAAATAACCATGCTATATGTATTCCTTCTACATATCTATTATATATACCTATAATTTAATCAGCTAAGAGCTGAGAACTCGTACATATGCAAAAGGCAAATTGATGGCAGGCAGGCTCATATAAATATAAGCTAATTACACTGCCTTGCTAGATCGTCGGCAATGGGGTCATAAAATATTGATAGTTAATTGTCGGCTTCTTCCATCAATCACTGAAATCATGGGATCTCCATCAAATCCATATATCTACTCATCCCCTTAAAACCATACATTTATATTTTATACAGATAAAAGTCCAAAACAAAAGCTTTTAATTCTTTACAGTTTTACAGAAATTATATTTTTTTATTTCTTTATAAAAGCTTAAATATAATTACCTACAGAATCTACTGTGTTATGTACACTTATGTAATAATATTCAGGAAGTACTTAACGTGTAACTACCATTAAAACATTTTAAAATTTCGTTTACCGCTGAAAAATCCCAAGGCATTCAGAATATATAATGTAGCACTGAATTACTTGAGTTCCATTGACCAAATTAGTTTCAAATAAATTTCCCAATCAAAGACATTTCGCAGCGATAATCGTTAAAATGTGCATCAAGAGTTTGTCAAACAACTTAAAGCACAAAGCCGAAAACCAGTTTGAAAAAAATGCAAAAACTATAACTAGTTTGCGCACACGCACGCATAATTTGTCCAGATTGGTGTAAATAAAAGTGAGATGGCCAATGCCCATTTGTTTACAAACAAACATGCGAATCGTAATGCGTTTGTCCAAGGCTCCATAGTAACCGAAAACCAACTAAAAACGCACATGGCAAATTCAGTCGAGACTTGACGACGCCGCAACTTCATGATTATCGAATCAAAGACAAAGGCGGACAAAGAAAATCGGTGGATTCAAAGCCAAACAACGATTGCCAGCGGAAGTAAAACAAAACGAAATACACGAAAAAAAAAAACAGAAAAACTGAAAAGCAAAGAAACTGATTTTCATATAAATCAATGACAGCCAATAAACTGTTTAACTTCATGTTAAGCACACACACTTGAATTAAGTGTTTGTTTTATGGGCTGGTGTCAAGGATTGGCAATAAAAACTCAAGTTTCCCGCCCTGACCTCAAAAATATAATCATTTAATTATAATAAGTAATTGAAATTCTTACCCCACCTCATTTAACTTATCTTTTTCCCCTACTAAACTTTCGCTTTCGGCGGCAGCGGCTTGAAATGAACTTGAACTTCAGCAATGCCATCGCAAGGGCAGGGCGTAAAGAGCAAAGTTGTAAACTGGTTTGATTTTCTTCGTTTGCCAGAAAGACTTAGGCAACGAACTTTTTGACAGCGCCATCTACTGCTCAATATATAAAAGCTTACTGTGTAAAAAAGCTGTGCTCAAAGCAGAGAAATAAATTTGGGGTTTAATTTAAAGGCGGAGCCCATATTTTTCCTAATCGAATTCCGTTGCTTGTGGGTATTTTAGAGTTACCTTTAAGTTGCAAGCCAAATTTCCATTTAGACTGCATTCCAATAACAAATAACTCTGTGTTTTAGTTTACACAAATTTATAAACAACCAATGGGAATATGAATAATATGAAATGACAAACTCTTATCTTATTAGCTTAACGTTTAATAAATTAATCAAAATTTTAAATGAAATGGAATAGAGATCCTTAGACTAAAGTCTATTTATTTCTTAAAATTGTGAGCTATTTAGAACATTTTTTTTCATTCACTTCTCAATCAAATGATTATATAAAATCAGTAGCTTTAAAGTTTAGTGTGGTTCACAACCACTAAAACCTATTTTATACGCAAATTTAAGAACCTTTTTTTTTGAACAAAAAACTTAAGAAAACAACTCTTTTTTGGAAACAAACGACTTAAGGAAAAATACTTTTTTTTACATAAACATTTTATTGGTCAGCTTCGGTTGCACAGAATTGGTTACAGATAATGTAGATCCCTTTGCTTAATCGTTCCACCAGCCAGCACCGCCACGGGAGCCCCCACCGTAGGCAGCGCCACCAGCACCACCGGCACGACCACCACCGGAAGCGTGATTGACCGTGTAATCGAACTCGGCGGGGTTGCCCCAGGCATTGCCACCGGCGCCTCCAGCTCCGGCTCCCTGCCAGCCTCCTGCTCCTCCGGCTCCTCCGGCTCCTCCGGCTCCCTGCCAGCCTCCTGCTCCTCCGTAGCCACCAGCTCCACGACCAGCACTGGCTCCTTGCCAACCACCGGCACCGCGACCGCCTGCTCCACCGCCATAAGATCCCGCACCGCCTCCAAAGGATGCAGCACCACCTCCATGGGATCCTACGCCACCTCCATAAGAGGCAGCTCCGCCGCCGTAGCCGCCAGCTCCTCCAGCCGAGCCACCACCAATGTGGACCTTAGTATTTCCCTGCGACTGGGAGACGTGGGACACCAGACCAGCTCCAATGGCCGGGCGACCACCGAAGCCGCCGCCGCCGCCACCACCACGTCCGCCGCCAGGCAGGTAGCCACCGCCAGCGCCACCGCCTGCTCCACCGCGGAAGCCACCAGCATTGGCCAGAGCCAAGGAAGCCAACAAGCAGACAAAGACCTGAATATGGTTAAAATTATAAAAATGAAATCTGTAAAATCCTCCAGGACTCCTTTTATTCTCACCTTCATTCTGGAAGTAAAGATTATTAGATTTGAGATTCTAGTCGAAGCTGAGACTCAATGGTTTGTGATGTCTTTGGGCCAAGAAACAGCTGAATTTATAGTCCAAATCCTATGGATCTTCTTTGGCTAATGATCCGTTCAAGCCACCAAACAACAAACAAACGAACGAAAAAAAAAACCAAATCAATTTCATTTTTCACAAACCAAAACATCAATTTGCTCCGCTCAATCATTAGATTCTGCAGCCCTCTGAACTCATCTTTATCTTTAGCTTAGCTTGGTTTGGCTCTTCGGATGCTGCTCTTCGTCGCTTTGTTTTCCTTGGCTTTAATTAAAAGTCACAATTTAATTGCACGGCGACGGCAATTAGCCTTCGGGCCTGCGATTGCCCAATCTCCGCCAAGTTGCTTTGTCTTAAAAGTCCGAAAAGTGGACGCAGTGCGTCCAGTTTATGCCCATGTTGCTGCGTGGGCGCTTCACCCACTCCTGGCTGCTCCTCCACATATATAAATATATTTGTTTTTTTTTTCTTGTTTATTTTTTGTTTTTGAAAGTGAACGAATTGTGTTATGCAAGGCAACACAATACCGCAATGCAACTCATCAACTTGACAGAAATAAAGTGCAAATCTTGCCGAGCCAAAACTGCTGTGAATGGGAAATATTTGAAATGGGGAAGTCCTCAGGCATTAAAACACAAGTTGTATTTCACCTGCAAAGTCAAGTTTTATGTTTAGAAAAATGGCAAACCATGATTTCCAATTTGTGAAAATTAATGTATGCAAATAAATTGCATTTACTACCAGGAACATCAAGTATTGTCTTACTTTCACTTTGCATATATTTTCTTAAGGCTCGAAAATAAAAAAAAACAGTTAAAGCGATTAATAAAAAACAAAAGACAAAAATTAATTTATTATAAATTCAATAATGTTTCAATCTGTACCTAAAATCTAGAACACCTTTCTTGGCCACATAATTTATCCGCGCAACTAAACCATATTCCTCCATTATTAAAATTAGGCTGATGAGCTTATAAAGTAGGCGATTAATCGCTTATCAAATGGGTGCATTGGAACTGTAAGCAACCAATGACGAAGTGCCTCTGCCGGCAAAGCGTTATCAATAATGGGACAACTTGCAACCTGAGAAATCGAAGCGAGAAATAAGCAGTGGAGATTTATACGAGGAAACTCGCACAAAAACCAATGATTTGGTTCATAGATCACCTGCGATGTAGGGTATTCAAAGTGGCAGACTGCGATCTCTGCTGCCACTCTCTTTCTCTTTTTTTCTTCGTCGCCGGAGAAAGCCTCTCTCTCTCACCGACTCTCTGTTTGGTTTGCCGGCCTTCGCTCTTTGGGATAATTTCGGGCTTCGTTGGTGCCGCTGCAGATTTGGCCAAATCATTCCGTTGCCAACGTTGTAACTGGAAAACGTGTTTGCCGGATCTTCGACGTCGCGTCGTCGCCTTCGCAGTTTTCCTCCCGTCTTTCGTTTTTCCGTTTTTCCGATTTTCTTCGCGCCTTGTGCATTTTTTCACAGTGATTAATAGCCCTTCCATTATCGGAAAAACTCATCCTCATACCCGAACATCCATCTTAATGTGCGTGCCAACCTGTGTTCTTTTATTTGTTTTTTTCCTGTTCATTTGTCATAACTGGCAGCAAATCGAAAAAATTAATTAAATAGTATGAAACACGATTAGAATGCTGTGCTCAAGCTGAGGAATATTGCCGACTAAGGAATACAGCGACAGCTTGATACTAAATATATTAAATTAATTTACGGTGAGTCAGAAAGGAAAATACTAGCTGGGAATAAAAAAAATAATAAATAAAACAGTTTCAAAACAAACAAACAACCAGTTTATGTGCCTAGTTTTTTAAAATAAACAACAATGTAATAGTTCATTGGAAAAGTTAAATATTAAAAAAATGAAAATAGCAACGATTCGATAATTTATGTACGCTTTTGCATACACAACAAATTACTGCATCCAAAAAAAAAAAAAACAAAAATAAAACACGCAGATTCATAAAAATTTGCCTTTATACGCTTGCTGTAAAAAATGATAAACAATTAAAAGGCAATATGAAAATAGGTCCCGTAAAAAATGCAAATGCTTCCAAATTCATTCAGATCATTAAAATCGTTAAATAATACTTTTGCAGACACCATTCGTAAGCAAACATTTGCATTTATAGATTTCTGCAATATTTATTAACATAAAAATCACTTTTTTATTTTCACGAGTAGCTGGCAGCATAATCATTAAGGCCTGCATATTTAGAATGATCAATCTGGCCAAAAATAGAAAAGCACCATCTCAATTAAAAACTTTTATTTATGGACTTTAACTCGTTTGGTTTTTTGGGTCTTACTTGATAAGTGCGCATTAGTCAAACTTAAGTTGCGGCTGGACTTAGTGGTGCGCAGTTTTCTTTCGTCTAGCAAACTGTTCATGGTCTATTAATTGCCGAAGCAGCTCATTTTCTTTTATGCATCAAGATGCGCACATATAGTATTTTTTTTATAGCCTCAATGGGTCTAATAAATTATATACCATATATATTAAAAATCGGAGAAGATCTCATGCCAATGCCCCGCGGTGTTGCTTAGAAATTTTCCTCGATTACGATTGACGATTGACGATTGAAACCGAAACTGCGATTAGGGCAATTCACCATGAACCATGAGCCGAGGCAGAACAAAAGACTAAGGCAACAAACTTGAGTGCGCTTGCGGTTTCTGCTGGCGATGTTATTGTGTAGTATAGTATAGTATAGTATAGTATGGTATGGGATTGGATCGGATTGGATGGGTTGGATAAGTGGGCGCGGGACAGGTGACAGCGAAACCCCTCCATGTGCATTCAGCTGGATGACTTTCTCCCTGCCGCAGCTGCTCCAACTTCTAAGTGGCACTGCTAATAAGCCACAGGGAATTGTTATTTGCTGTTTTTGTCGCTGCACTTGTCGTGGGTTCCTATCGCTCGCAGTGGGTAGCAGGGGGTATGCCCAGCAGGTGTTTTATTGCGCCACCAGCAGATGAAAATTCCCGGAATTTTGCGAGCTCCCCTCACATACCATTGTTCATAGTTAGTTTTATAAGAAAAACGCAAGCACACATAAGAACTAGTAGTAATCATTTACATTTAAACATTTTAAATAACAATATTACTAAGTATGCAGTTATTGCTAATAGTCCTAAAAATAAATATAATAATTAAGAGTTTAATTCTTAAAATTTGATTTGAAAATTGTTTGGTAAAGTGCTCTTTTTAATTATAATTCATTTTTGTTGATTAAAATGTCTTTATTAATATATTTATATTGTCAAATATAATGTGAAAAGTGTATAACGTATTTTGAATAAAAAATAGATATCTGAAGGCTTTTATCATTATAATATTAATTTGTTGTTTTGAGCGACCACTATAGAAAAGGTAATGAAAGTTAAGAATTTGTACTATTCTAGATTAAATAAAAGGTGTAACCCGACATTTTCTAATATCCGAATTTTGAGTAAAATACTTCTTTCAATATGCTTGACTGGGCTTTACTTTTGCTTGCTGATTTTTTTACTTATGAACCAAAAACGTATGATTTTCGATTGAAATCATTCAGTTAACCTCAGTGTTTGACCCTGAGCATCGAAGGGTCTAACCTTCCGGCGACGGCATTTTCATTTGGGCGACTCGCTCACTCGGAAAACCTCTCGCATCCACATCCACATCCACAACCACGTCCACATCTACGCTGAAATGATATTAATTGCCCCGCACACTTACCGTGGAGTGGGTACTTAGGTGACTTTCATTGTCTTGACAGCGGTGGATTATTATGCGGCAGGTGGGTTTTTTTTCTCTTTCTGTTTTGTTTTTTATGCTCCACACACACACACACACATACATGTGTGTGACTTTGAGTGCAGCTCCAGTTTAATCACACTTTTAACTCCGTTTCACATAATACTAATTTCATAATTTGCACCACCCAACCAGGCAACGCACCACTCCACCGCCGCAATGTGCTGCTGCTGCTGCTGCTGCTGCTGCATTTTCACTTTTACACATCGGTCGGGGCAGTGTGATTAAAGCTTTGCATAAGTGGTGTGGTGTTTTTAATTTTGTCGATGGGAAAATGCGCCCCGGGAAGTGCTTCCCAGAATCCCGTGGATTCCGCGGATTCCCGCAGATTGGCACCCAACTAAAAAAACTCGAGAGAGCTCGGTCCTAGGCGTTGACATGCCTCGTAGGCAATCCGCAGCTAGCGGATCATAATTGCAGCTAGATGGGTAGCTAGCCCACTTCACTTGTAGCCTGAGAAGCTGGAGATGATCAAGTTGGGGATGGGGATGGGGATGGGGTTCCTCCTCGAGCAAGCAACTGTCAGCGTGTAAAACAGCGACGCAGCCATGATCATGACCATGATCAAGTTGTAGCTGTTGGTGTGCTGCTTACCTCGTCGCGGGTCCAATAACTTGCTCAGGAACTATGTGTGGGTTGAATACAAGTGAAAAGCTTTAAATTGCAATTCAAAAAAGGTTTAAAAACAAGTACACACCCTTGAATTGAAAATTTTGAAACATTTGGTGATTAGTTCCATCTTTATCATGTGCTTTTTGATATGCATATTTTTAATATCCTTTTTATTATTTTTCTATATATTTCTTTTTAATTATTTTTAAGTAACTTTAGAAAAATATAATAATATTGGCCAGCTTTCGATTTGCGCAGTTAATTGTTATGCAATTTTAGTAATGAATTTAGCTGTATACTGAAATAAAAAAATATTTCAAAACTCATACACTTTGTTAATTACTGAAAGTAACATTTTTTTTATTTTTGAAACATAATAATTGAGACGTAATAATTAATGGTTAAAAAAAAACCCCTTCGTAGAGCATTTGCAGATTCGCATAGACACAGTTTTTATTCATAATAGCCCCATCTGAAAGCCCTCCCCTTGGGATGTTGTTGGTTGTCTTGCGGTTGGCAGTTGTGCATCTTTGTATCTTGTATCTGTCGGCGAATGAAATAGCACGTACCATATAATCAGGCGGGCAACCCAAAAAAATAAAAATAAAACAAACAGTGGAAATAAAAGCCAGCAAATAAGAAACGGCAACCGCCACAAATCAGAGACTAAGAATGAAAGTTAGCCTGCACTTGAACAATACAAAAAGCCCCCTACATTTTTTGAGGTTTTTTGGAAGTCTTTTGTCAACGTAAAAATAGATCTATTTATATAGCCGAACCCCGAACCCGAACCCGAACTCATAATTTCCCATCGCTAGCCTCAGTTTTGAGCAGACAATTATCATAATTATCAATGCACTTTTCACACTTTTCACACTTTCCATGCGGTGTGCTCTCCAGCCGCCGTTTTGTGTCATTTGTCACAGAAATTATGCATAAGTTTCCGCGCCTGCTCGCTTTCGAATTGGAATCGCTTAGTCTTGGTCGTGTCTTGTCCGGGGCTCCATTGTTACACTTCCAGCCAATTTCGATTCTATGGCCCATTGTCAACCCTTCACCTTCCGCGGAATGGCGGCAAGTTTAGGGCCGCTTGAGGCCTCATAAATTTCGTCGGCAACGGAACAATGACAAATCGATGACGGCGTCAACAAAATACAAAATACAACATTTGTGCGACATTTATAAACAAATTTGTGTGTTGATTTCATTTCTTCGCCGCCTTTATCCGATCGTAATTGTGTGGCTGGAAAGTGAAACCATCGTTAATAAATAAGCTTCGGCATTCCAATAACTCAGCACAATGGCTTTTTTGAACTGGAAAACCAGTAACTTTCGAACGCATTTCGATGCCACACATAAGGCGATTAGTGCAAGATCAAACTGGGGAACAGTTATCAAAAAATTATACAATTTATATAACACTTGTTGATAGTGCTGGTCGATTGATTGCCGGCTAAGCGGATTGAAGGCAAGAATTAACGCGACAGATCTGAATAATTTTTAAGCCGATTTAAGCTCTATATTAAATGCATTTGGGAAAAACAAACTATTACTAGTGGGGAAAATATTTGATTGACTTGATTGAAAAAGTAAAAGTTAGAGCTTTCCATAAATCAAGCCATTTAAATGAGTTTTTTATTATAATATTTACCGATGTATATTTATTGCAAGAACAGTTTCTTGTATTTAATTAACTAGGTTAAACACCTTTAATATTATGAATAGTCGAATCGAAACAATAGATACAAAAACATTTGATTTATTAATATTAAAGTCAACTCCGCGTCGTTTGTCTTTGTCATTTTCTTAGTCTGCAGTAAATGTAAATACATTTTTTTTATACCGTTTCTTATTCCTTAGTTGATTTATATATATTCTTTACCCCCCCTGGGATTTTCTTTGATTGGCTAGGAAAAGCCTGACCCAGAATATAATATTCAATTTAGGAGCATTCATCACTGTCTGCCATAATACCATATTTATCCTGAATTTTCTCCATTTTCCTGTTTACATTGTGAAATTGCAAAAAGCATAAGAAATGCGCAAATAGCATTGTACAAACAGACAGAGTAAATTAAAACTTAACAGATTAAAGGGGTTATATATCATGGATCGTATCGCATAATCATGACAAGCAATTCGTGCCTGGGACTAATCCAGCTTTTTATTCGTGCACCGGAATCCGATGACCTTTTCCCAGGATGAGGGGCAGGTGGGGATTGGAGAGGAGTGGAGTGGAGTGGAGTAGAGTGTGTGGTAGTTTTAGTGGAGAAGCTTGACCAGACAACCTGCCACATCTCAATTGGCGCTTGACCAAAGCAGAGGCTCTTGACATCGGACTATGCAACAAGTGGCTGCACAAGAGTGTTGCTGTGCTGCGTTTTCGTTATGTTGCGGATCTACACTCGCAAAAAGGAAACATCAAATTTACCAATTCTGTAAAGTTTTGCTTTCAATCGTTGTGTACATAAAATTAAAATAAAAATTTAATAATATATTATTTCTTACGAAAAATTATCATAATATTACATTATTTTTATATTTTTAAATTATTATGGATAGATGGATGCACTTGTTTGTTACTTAAATAATCAACAAGGAGTTTCATATTTACTAGTTTGTCATATCTTTTATCTTAGAGGTTTTCATTTTTATTTAAAAAAAAATTGTTTACTCAAAAAATGGTAACTACTACATTTTCAATATTATTTCTTTAACTTTTTAAAGCAAACATCGATTTTAATATTTGTTCTACCTTGTAAAAAACAATTTCTTAACATTATCTGGTGGAAATGCACATTTTTCGCTGAGTGAAGATGATCGGGCTATTTTGCTTTTGTCCAAACGTTGCTGTTGCCGTTTGAGAGTGTCTGATATTGCAGATGTTGCTGGTGTTGCTGGCCATGTTATCGCTGTTGTTGCCACTGATTGGCGCCGTTGTTGCCACGCCTCCGGCCATCCATTGCTGCATTGCTGTGGCAATTTCTCGCCTCGGCTTACATAAACAAAAAAGAGAGATAAAAACATGGATTATCAGTTTTCGGGAACTGCCGAATATTTACCATGGAATTGGCAACAATTTATGACACTTAAATGACCACAAAAAGAAATGGCAAAAAATATTCGGACCGTTATTAGGCTGTTGTGACAAACGAAACAAAAGGCAGACGTTACACCACATTCAAGTCGTGCATAAATAATGATAGATCCGCATAATATCACACATATATTGATTGATTGTGGCATCGACTTCCGGGGGTCACCACCTGACCAGATTTCCGGCTCCTGCTGTTCATGTTGCTGTCGGCTCAAGTTGCTGGTGGCATAAGTTGTGGTTGCTCATGTTGCTTTTGCTGTTGGCCATGGCCAAATGCGAATCACGATCGTTGCTCGTTTTGCCATCACTTCACTCTCGTTTTGGCTTTTACTTTTCGGTGCCCCCAAAGACTCGCACATGACTTCACTTTTACCGCAGTTAAAGTTCGTCATGGGTCGTCTATATTCGCCTCAGCCGCCCCTCTTTTTCTAACTTAAATAAAATCCACTGGTCCCCAGACGCATTATTTTTGTTGAAATGAAGAAAGAATTACAATATAAATAGTTTGAAATAAATTAAACATTATTGTAGTAAGTTTTTAAAAATTGTAATTTATTAAATTCAATTTCCACAAAAAGAAAAACATGGGAAACTCAAGCCTTAAGGAAATTATATTAATAGATTGTTCTTGTTTAGTAAGTATAGTATAGTATGGTATAGTATATTACAGTATAGATTATTTTTGGTTAATAAGCATGAAAAAAGACCAAAAGGATTTCTTTATGATTTAAATGCAATTTAATGGAAATATCATGATGAATTAAAAAGAATAGCCTTAAACCCGTTCATGCCCACTGTTGCCAACAATATATAATAATAAAGTTATATAATTCTTCAATAGCCAAATCCTATTTACATTAAGCATATACATATATTAAAATTTAAAAAATTTAATTGAAATAATCAAAGTTCCATATATTTTTGCTTAACGTTGGGAATGTATCCAATGAGAGAAGAAAATTATTTATAAAAGTTTAAATTAAAATTGCTGGCCAGCTTCTCACAAATCGTCGTTAAAAGAGCGCACGCAAAAGCCAAGCGTTTTAATGACATAATTAGGCGTTGTTTTATTTTTTTTTTTGGAAAGGTGTTGCTCTCGAGAAAATCCCCGTAAGATTGGGGTGTCCGGGGGGGTCGACTTCGAATGCCCAATGCCGAATGCCACCCAGTTGGACCGAGTTGTTTCGCCTGGTAGCGGCGGGTCACCGCCCAGCCTGATTGATTTGACCCCGCCAAAAGGGGCAGACTTTCACTGGCGTGATCTCTGGGTCCAATCCCTCCCCACTACCGAACCATGAGTATGTACATATTCATGATAATAACCCCCGTTCGGAATTTGGAATTTGGAGTTTGGAGTTTGGAATTACCGAAATGCATTCCGTGCTGCACAGATGATGTCTGATGATGGGATTATTGCAGATGTGCGATTATGTGCGATGATGTCATCTCTGGGAGCCATGGGTTCATCGAGCATGGATCGCGGTTCGCGGATCGCGGATTGCGGGCCATTGGGAGCAGCGCAGATCTGGCGGCGACTTTTCTGCGAAATCAATTTGGTGTAATTATGTAACTGTAACTGGCGGCCCCAAAAAAGACTGGCGCTCGCTCGAACCTCACTCAAGTCATCAATCAGTCGAGGGGCCCGTCATTAGCTCACATTTCATCGCCTAACTGCGATGCGATACGATCCGATGCGATGCGGTCAGGTGGGATCAAGTTTTCATCTTGGAGAACGGAATGGTCACATGACCAGCTTCTAAATACCACAAATTTAATTAAATTCATTAGAGCTTTCATATTCAAAATATTAAATTGAGAGGATACGAAAACTGGAGATATTTTAAAAAATGCTGGCAAATAATTTTTATTTGACCATGTTATCTAGGTTTTTGGCAAAAAAATGTTCATTTTTAAATGCCAATTGATTGAGAATTTAATAACGAGCCTTATGACATTCCATATTTTTAATATTATTTCCGAGGTAAATCAAATTGTGTGTTTTATTTGGTTAAAATTCCCGTAGGTCATATTTTACAACGATGATGTCTGAATCCAAAATATTTTAATTGATTATGCCAAGTTCTGGACTTCCTTGAGCTTCGTTTATCCAGCCAACCCAGAAATCCCTGGTGTAATCACTGGCATCACCGATTCCGACTGATAATCTCCGCCTTCCTGTCCGCAGACAATGACAAACAGACACCTGGTGAGCTGGTTGCCAACGGAGTGCGATCCGTGGCCAATTTAAATGGGACTTGATGGCGATTGCGATGGCGATGGCGATGGCGAGTGCGTTCAACTGGCTTGCTTCCCCATGGAAGCCGGGCCACTTGTTGGCCAGGTTTATGGTCGATCCATTAGCGCTGCCTGCGCGCCGGACCATTTGACTTCATTTGATTTCGAGAGCAGATGCCAATTGGCAATAGCCTTTCATTTGGCAGTCCGCCTCCTCCAGCTGCTCCTCTGTCCCCATCCTCGCCAGAGTTCAATGGCAGCCACCGACAATGGACGAGTCATCTGGGAAAATCGATCTGCGGCTTTCTTGGTGGCCCCGATTTCTCATGGAATTCTCTTGCGGAATTCTTCGAACAAATTGTGGAAAATTCGAGGTTGAGCCACTGACACTTCCCGCAATTCCCATTGATGATTTGCAGATTATTGAATCGCCACTTTGCGGTGCAGTTCATTTGGGTCAAATCAACCAACACAGGCTTTCCTTTTCATCATTTTTTTTTTAACTTAATCAAGTAGTCTTTGCTTCATACCTATAGCCCACTTTTATTCTAAAAAAACCTATAGTTGTAGGTACATCAAAAATATTTCACATTAACTTTAGGTGTCTTGTTATCTTAGCCTTAAGTTAGAAATTGAAAATTTTTTTAGTATATACAGATTCTGCATCTTGCTAACTAGTTTTAATTTTGCTTAAAATTAAAAAAAAATAAAACAGGAACAAAAAGTTTTCCAAACAATTACTTATTTAAAATTTTAAAAAATGTGTGTTAAAAAGTAATACATTTTTGTAAATTCTATACATTTGTATTGTTACAAAAACAATAGCAAATTATTTTGAAGTATTTTGTGCTAATTTATTTGTTAGCTTATAAGCAATATAATATAATTTTTTTTAACGCCGTTATTCGCCTGTGACATTCACGAATAAACATTCAATTTAAAATACTTCAATAAATTATTTCGCACATTAACAAATTCTATGATACAGCCGCAACATCTATATGCAGTAAAAGACATCGAATTTGTAGGGCCAACGGTGGAGATTGGCCATGCTCTCTCCCAGTTTTCAAAGACGTCGCTCAAAGAGCCACAATCGACCGAAAAATAACAAATTAATTTCACTTTCTTTGTAAGTGAGCTGCTGTTGCTGCTGTCTTTTGTTGCTGTTGCATGTTGCTGTTGGTGTTGGCCCGGTGTCTTTGTGGCCATTGTTGCTGCAGCAGCGACAAGCTCGACTTCAGGTTTATTGACTGCGTCGTCTGTGCAATTAACTCTTTTTATACATTTTTTTTGTGATTTGCCCGCTCTTGTTTGCGCCTGAATGGACAGTGGGAGGCAGGTGGGGCAGGTGGAGCATAAACGCCAGCCAGCTCGGTTGCCATGGCCCAATGCACCGCAGGGAACTGCCACGCCCACTGCCATCTGACACCGACTCCGACACCGACACCGACTCGAAGTCGCGATCTCCCTGACATCTCGTCTCGTGGCACTTGTGGCACACATATTTTCACCCGACAATTAGGGAGTGCTCGCAATGGCACTCTCCAAATGAAAATAATAATATTTTTGGTTTACATTTTTCATTCCCTGTGTGTTTCGAATTGTTAAAAATATGCCTACAGTGCGTTTCAGAGCTTAATCTAGTTACATCAATGGATTACCTGTTATGATGCATGGAATGGGATACAGAGATCTGGATTTATATTCGAAAATATCCCAAGTTTTACAAGTTTTTCATTTTCATTCGATTTTTGGTTCATATTAATATCGGCAACGTTTTAGATTTAAACTAAGAAAAGTGCTTTTGAACATTATTTAAAGGCGAATTTAATCAGCAGGCCTCAAATGGCGTATCGAGATCTCGCTCAGTATTACAAAAAAAAGATTCTTAGGTTAATCAGTTAAAGCATGCCTTTTTGCGCCTATTTTTATCACAACATTTAAGGAATCTAGTTTAGACATTCTTTGTGTTACTTAAAATGTACATTAATAAGTAGTAAGTACAGTGAAGCCTTTTTTGCAGTGGGACATGGGTCCGGAAGTCGAATGGTATTTTGATTACTTAATAAATGCTTAATACATTTTTAAAGTCAGGCAAACATATGTTTTTTTTTTTGTATATTATATCAAAATGTAAGGGAATTCGATGCACAAAAGTAAGTGTATGTTGAGGATAGAAATTCGTTGGCCTCTTAGTTGCGACTTTAGCTGCCCTAATCAGGTACGATAGGCTTATGAAACGCACTGTACAAGTATATAAGTTCATCGTGTATAAAAGTTTATTTATACTTCTATGAGCCTAATCGATCACTTCGCGAATACTGCTGTAGCAAATTATAGCTAGTTTTGGACCGATTAGGGATTAGGGCCGGATTCACGCAGCAGGCCTCCTCCTCCATTGGTCGTTTAATAGTCCTTATCACAGTTGAACTCGTCGGGCAGACTCTTGCCCTCAGCCAGGCACATGGACGGCACATCCGCCTGCAGCAGCCGGCGGATCGCCTCCGGACCCAGCCACTCGTCCGCCTTGCTCAGATTGCGCGTCTGCACCAGCTCGGTCACCTCGCGGTCCATTAGCATGCGCAGCTGGAAAATTTTGCGGGCCACATCTCTGGCACAGCCGATGCGGATCCAGGAGTCCAGGCAGAGCTGCACCTCCGAGCCGAGCGGCTCCAGGCGGAAGTGCTTGCCACCGGCCAGGGCTACCATTAGACCGCTCACCAGGGTGGTCTGCTCCAGCGAGGATCGCTGCTCGGCGGTGCGTGTCTTCTCCACAAACAGGATCCAGTCGCTGGCCAGGTTCTTCTGCTTCTTCCTGCCCAGCAGGCAGGAGTTGCGCGACACCTGGCAGAAGGGGTCTCCCTCGGCCATCAGCTGGTGCTTGTTCTCGCGGTCCATGTAGGCCAGCTTCGGATAGTAGCCGGCCGTCAGGGCCAGGCGGATCAGATTGGTGTCCTTGGCAAAGGACGAGGCCAGACGCACCTTGGCTGGGTTGGCGCCGAAAATGCGCGTCACCGATTCGCGCAGCGTGCTTACCGCCGAAACGAACATCTCCATGGAGTGGCGGCACACAGAGTTGCGCTCGCAAAAGTCCCCAATGTCGTAGCGTGACAGGCTGGTGAACTCCTTGTAGAGCTTCAGGGCAGCCAGCGAATCGCTCATCTGGTCGCCAGCAAACAGGAGTCTGGCGTTCTGCTGGCCCGACTTCTTGCCGCGATCCGTGGTGAGCACGAAGGGATCTTTGACAGAGTGAAAGGCCGCTATGATGGTCATGCTGCTCGCGCAGCGCAGGTAGATGGAGTACACCAGACACTTGGCCATCTGCACGCCCAAGGGCAGCTCGGCAATGATGCGTCCCAGCGGCGTGATCCTCTCCTCCAATTCCTTGATCACGCCCAGGAGCTGCAACCTGGAGCAGGCCTGCAGCACGGCCTCCGGCTGCGGGGGATCCAGTGCCTTGGCCAGAAAGCTGGCTATAAGCCTGTCCGGAGCCGCCACCTTGGTCAGCAGACATATCTCGTCCAGGCTGCGCCTCATGATCTCCGGCACGGTGTACAGGCTCATCCTGGCAAAGCGGTCGCTGTCGTACAGACGATAGCAGATGCCATGGCGCAGGCGTCCGGCTCTGCCCGCCCGCTGTTGGGCATCCGCCTGCGAGATCCACACACTGGTCAACTGGGAGGCATCCGTGCCCGGGTCGTAGGTCTTCATCTTGCAGCGACCCGTATCGATGACGTACAGCAGATCCGGTATGGTGATCGAGGTCTGACCTAGGTTCGTGCTGAGGATGATCTTCAGACGCAACCCGGGATATACCCGAAAGACCCTGCGCTGCTCGCTGGCGTCCACATGGCTGTGCAACAGTAGAATCTGGATCTGGTTGCGCGGCAGAGCCGATTCCAAGCGGTCCATCAGCATGGTCATATCGCTGTATCCCGGCAGGTAGACAATCACCGCTCCGGAGTCGCCGCTGCGCAGCAAAAGTTCCAACAGCGAAACGATCAGATCGTTGTCGATATCGGGATCTATAATCGTGCGACCGCCGTAATAGGCGGCCAGCAATTCGCCGGCATCCTCTTCGCCCGTCGGCTCGCCCAAAAAGTTCTCCATCCTGTAGGTCATGTAACCGGTCTTGCTGAGTATATCCTCCAGGTGAAAGATCCTCACCTCGAAGCTGCGTCCCTCCACATCCATGACGGTGGCCCCGCCGAAGTACTTGGACAGCGCCTGCAAGTCCATGGTGGCCGACATGAGCACCAGGCGCAGGTGGCGATTCTTGTCCAACTCCAGCTTGCTGACCAGCAGCAGGAAATCGGTGTCCAAGTCGCGCTCGTGCACTTCATCGATGATCAGATGGGTGGTGCTTCTGAAGAAGGCCTCGCCATCCATGGCCAGGGCACGCAAAAGGCAACCACTGGTGGTCAGCGAGAGGACCGTGTGGCTGCTGCACTTGCCTGGCGGTGAACGAGTATTGTTTATGGTTAGATCTGATTGGCTTGGAGCCTGAATGATACTCACTGTTCATGCGAATCTGATACCCAACTGTGCTGCCCAATGCTTCGCCGCGCTCCTTGGAAATGCGTTCCGAAACGCTGGTCGCCGCTATGCGACGTGGCTGGCTGACTATTATCCTCACCGGAGAGCGATGCTCGGCGGCCCACTCGAGGATATACTGCGGCAGCTGCGTGGACTTGCCCGAGCCAGTGGCTCCTTTGACAATCAACACCTGTGGGAATAAATCAAGTTTTAGTAGGGGGGAATGGTTTAAGTTTCTACAGTAGTATAGTATAGATCTGTAAAATGCGAAAACAGTTTTTAAAGTGGACAAAGCCAGTTTTTGTAGGAGGAATAGTGTGCTATCCTTCAGGAAAGTTTCTGCTGGTAAACAGATTGTGGCCTTATCAAAGTAATGTAAAACAGATGCTTTTTTTTAAATTTGGGAAAAGATTTCTTGAAAATAAAGATTAGTAACCTGTTCGCTCTGCAGGACGTTGAGGATCTTCTCGCGGTGCTGGAAGATGGGCAGGCGCTGTCGCTCCTGCTGCATGCTCCTGTTGAGGGCGACGGGCGGGATGAGACGGTGGCCGACCAGGCCAAAGTTCGATGGTCGCCGATCCTGCTGGCGCAAGGAAGCCGAAGTACTGGTGTTCGGAAGACGTTCCACGTGAACGGTCAGCTCTTTCAGAGCTTTGGACAGCTGGGCACTCATGTGCAGCTTGGCGTTGTCCAGGCAGAGGTGCTGGAGGCCTCCCGTCTGTGGACGGGACATGAAGAGGATGCGATTGTCCTCCGGTCCCTTGCTCACGGTCTTGATGCCGCGACTTTGGGCCAACTTATGCACGTGGCTGCGCTGGGCCTTGGTCAGTCCGTGCAGCTGGAGCTCCGGATCGCGGCTCTGCAGGAAGTCGCCGATCGTCTGGCGCAGAGCCTTCTCCTGCTCGCGGTCCAGGCGATCCGCATTTTCGCCGGCTTCTTTGGCGGCCTTTACCGACCTGCTGCCCTTCGTCTTGGCGGCACTGCGATCGCCGGACGACGACTTCCCGGCTCCCTGCCCGTTGACCAATATCCCCAGTGCTTGTCCCTGCGGCGGAGCACCCTTTTTCTTACCCTCGCGACGGCCTTTGGCCATCTCTTTCTTGCTGTCTGCCATTCGATTTTTTAAACAGTTTTCCCAGAGTTTCAACGTTTCAGTGCGACCGTACCAGACGTAAAAGAAAATACCACTCAAATCTAGCTGACAAGTAGAGTGACCAGGCGGTAGTTTGCCTTGAAGGTACAGCTAAGCGGTGACGCAAACTTACTGGACGACTCCGATTGTATATTTAAATATTTATTTGACCTGGCGTTAAACGAAAACTTTTTTTTTTAATTTTAATATGAGTTATATTATTATACAATTGACAAGCTCAAATGTCCTGCCATATGTGATAGGATAGTTTTCTTTGTAGAAGAACTTTTATAGACTAATTTCAGAATCTTCCCATTATTATATACATATTAAATTTATATTATAAATAACACAATTCTTTTTATAATTTTAATTTAGGTTCGATTATTATATATTTGAATAGCTTAAATACATATATATATATATATATTATTTTACCTGCAATTTTGTATAGGATATTTTTCTTTGTAGAAGAACCTTAATTAACTATCTTCATATAACAAGCCACTTAAAAATTTAACGGCTTAAATTACATTGTAGGAATTAAATAATGTTTAGTTTTTTTAACTATTATATTTAAAAGTTAAAAAAAAGTTAAAAATTACCTTTACCATATAATTAAACATTTTGAAATTCTATTAAAGCTTTCATGCGAATGTGAGGTAAAAGCTTTGCGATATATTTCAAAGATTTTGAAACAAGCCTAGTTGCCATCTCCCTCACTTTGGTAAACAAAGTTACAACATTATGGTTTCAATTAGCTATTCTATTACTGATTTATCTTTTATTCAATTTACAATTACTTTCTGAACGGAATCTCCTTTCTATTAACAGCAAAGAAAAAATTAAATTTAAAACATTGGTTTATTTCTCCAGGCTATCATCTTTCTCCTAGAACTTTTTGTCCTTTTCTTTTAGACATAGCAGTTTGGACTTGTTTTGGGGCATTCATTCAACCTGGTTAGCAATGAGTAAGGTAATCTAACTATTAGATTAGCTTTGGCTTGAAGAGTTCTTTGACTGTTTCAACAAAGATCTTCTCGGAATCAAACTTCAAGTTACATATTGCTCTTGGTTGAATTGGTCTTCAACTTTTTAAACAAATCGATTAGGTTTAGAAAAAAAAGTGTTTATTTCGCCTTGGTGGGCTTTTCAGGAACAGGTTTCTGTGGCTCCTCCTCCTCGCTTTCATCCTCCTCCTCCTCGGAATCGAACTCAGAGTCGTCATCCTCTTCCGAATCGAAATCCGAGTCATCTTCGTCCTCGTCATCCTCGCCAGCGAGATTCAGCTGCTTGATCTTGTCCAGCAGCTCGTCGCGTGTGTGCGCCACCCGTTTGGCCTTCTCCTGTGTCTCCAGCTGCTCCTCGTCCAGCTCATCCTCGGCCGCCGCCGGCTGCTTCTTGCCCTTCTTCATGTAGCGCAGGAAGGCGCGCCGCTTGCGCTCCGAGAAGGACTTGACCAGGCGGTCCATCTCCGCCTGCAGCTGCTGCTCCTCGCGCGGCGTGGGCTGGGCCTCCTCGATGGCCACTTCGTCGGCGCTCTTGAGGCACTTGGCGCAGACGTGCGCCTTGATGGCGCAGTCGCGGCAGACCACATGGTAGGCCTTCTTCACCGTCCGCTCCTTGCAGTGCGCACAGGTCTTGGCCTGCGACAGCGGCTTGTACTTCTTGTACTTGATCTTCCACTCGATCTGCTCCTTGCACCGCTGGCACACGGTGGACACGTGCATTGCATTCAGGCGGATCTGCTGGGGCGTCTTGTCGTGCAGGTCGTTCTTGAAAACATGCCGATTCTTGTGCTTCTGCGCACGTGTGCGACTCACATTGCCCCGCTGGCTGCTCATCTTTGGCTCTTTTCCTTTGTTTTTGCTATCAATACAAAGTTTATTAGGTCCACATTGATTTAGTCAATTATTTAATTCAATTTACCTGCTCTAACTAGGCTAATTTGATCACAGACAATATGTTTCTCGTTTAATTGCGTGCAAAATAAATAAAAGTATGCCAGTGTGACCGTTGGCTGTTGCCTTGACAATACTAAAAGCTCACGCAAAAGAGCTGGTATTTCTCATGAGTCGCCGACTGGCCGTTCTGTTCGCGGCGGGAAATTGTGTCTCCTTGGAAAATCGCGTTTTTATTAATTTTTCGCTTGTGAAAAATGAGTGTTAGGGTGTCAAAGGTTTCAGGAACGTTAGGAAGTTGAGTATTTCTTGGAAAGCACTTGATTTCACCTGTTTTTAGGTAGCAAGCGATTAACTTATTCTTGTTGAGCAGCGCTGTGCTGCCAGATCGGTTTACCGGCACCTTGGCATTATTATCAATTTTTTTTTGGTTTGCGGCAATTAAATAATCAAATAGTGTATTTCTTTTTTTTTTAAGTATTTCACAAATGCTTAAAGTGTGTCGGAAACCCCATAGAATAGAAAGAAAATTTCTTTGCCTTGCCAGATTATCAATATAAAATGTTTGAGCAAGGTTTTAAACCACAGCAACTCTAAAACTGTTTAGCCGGGACTCAAACAGGTTATGAAAGCGGCTAAAAGCTAAATGCTATAAATATATTTTAAACAGTTTTCTATATTTGAATATTTATATTTTTGTTTTGCAGAACCTGGTATATTTCGCTGACCAATGGAGTACATTTTTTGCCAATCTAATGCTGAGTAGGCCGTTTTTATCAATAAAATGCGCGACCTCAAGCAGCGTCTCTTCGATCTGCTACGCTCCGGTGGCAACAACAACAACAGCAACAACAACAGTAGCAGCAACAGCAACACGAACAACAGCAGCAATTCGAACCACAACAAGGGAAATAACCAGTCCCATAAACAACAAACGCATGTGCCCGCCCAAAAACCGAAGAAACTACACGAATACACGGCCGCTGATTGCAATGCGGCCTTCCTGCGGAAATACCATGATCTCAGTATAAACAGAGATCGGGAATTGGACAGGGAAATGGGCAGGGAAAGGGAGCGGGAGCGGGCTGGACCTGGTCCAGGGGCACTGCCGTCGCCCAATGTGATCTACTTCAATGAGAACCTGTCGATGGCCAGCAAATACAACGTGCGACCCTTTCCCCTCACCCGCTATCCCTCGTGTCCGCTGAGCAGCTTCGGCGCAGCCTCGCAAGAGGGAAGAGGTGGAGGTGGAGGTGGAGGAGCAGGCGGTGGTCGCCAGGAGGGCAGTGCTGGCAGCAGTTTGGGCGAGGAGGACACCGAAAGCGAACCCTATCACTTTTGCTCCGACGAGGATCGCAGTAGTCACACCGCCACGCTTAAAATGCGCCACCACCATGGCCTGGAAATGGATGCCTCGGTGAACGAGGAGGATGCCGATCTGGAGGACGACCAGGCCGAGTCCCAGCTGGACTCCTTCTGCACCCTCTGCACCTCCACCTTCAGCTACAACAAGTGCTGTCGCTTCTGCGAGAACTCACTGTGCGGCTCCAAGTGCAATTCCGAGCGCGGATCGCATGCCAGCAGGATGAGCCGCATCAGCCACATCAGCAGAGGCCTGGCCAGTGGCTATCCCGCCGATCCGGACTTCGATACGCACCAGAATCCACTGCAGCAGTACAGATTCGGAGGCAGCATGCGAATGCTGGGAAATCATCAGCCAGCGGCCATCAGGTGAGTGCTCCCAAAAACCTTGCAAAATTATTTGATAGCCATGTTTATAAGATAGTTTTCGTGTTTGACCTTACTATTAAAAAAATGGTACAAGCAACTAAACAATTATTGAACTCTTATTTATAATAATTTAGCTAAAAGATATTGGAAATCGAAAAATCTTGATCTTGGTAAAAAAAAGCCAAATCAATATAAATTTGTATGAGTAAATTTTTTAAAATGATAAAAGTTTTGGCCAAGTTTTTAAGGTACAAACTAAGTGTTTTTTTATTTGAACTTTTAAAAAGTTCCACATCACAACTCCTGATTCCTTGGAGGGTAGCTTTTTCCAAGATATTTATTTAAGGTCAATTAAAGCCCCAACTACCTTAAGTTTCTTTTGACTTTTTTTATGGGTTAGACATAACCAAATCCATTAAGAAATTAAGTAATTGGGCAATCGTGGTGTCAATTATCAATTCAATTTGTGGCAATTTGCCATGCTTTTCTTTAGGTTCATTGATGCAAACACATAATTAAGCGATAATTTCGAATCGAATGCTATTCGATGCACTTTGTGGCATTGCCGAGGGTTCAAAGATCGAACTTGCAGTGGCTGGGGCGACAAAGTAAACACGTCGTAAAGCGATGTTGCCTCATTAGTGGCATCGCTAATGAAGTGTTTTCGTATTTCTATTAAATTGCACTGGTTAATTAGTCGTAAGACTTTGATTGATTACATTTAAATGGGCCTCGGCAGCGGGATGCAGGCGGGGAGCCAAAGATCTTCGAAGCGCCAACCAGAGCAACGAACGACTCAAGCCAAACAATTATGCACAAAACCTTAAACTGGCCATAAACAACCGTTAGCGATGAGGTTTCCGCGCATGACGCGCCACCAGCTTGACCATAAAAAAGCATAAATTCTATTGAATAAAATTATACCCACCACAGTAAACAGAAACAACAACGGCAACAACAGCAACAATAACAGCGGCAAACCAAAGAAAAATTCCAGCATACTGAAACTACAAAAAGGCGAGCAAGAAAAAGTCTAGCAATGTGCAAAAAGCGCATCGAAAATCAACTAAACACAAACGCAGCACTCGAATGAGCCGATGTTTACATCAACAGCAGGGGTACGAAGAACAAATAATGCACAAGTTTCAAATACTCTTTTTAAGGAAAATGGTTCAAGAAAATATATTTCTGAATTATATAATTAAAATTTTGAAAAAACAAGAAGCTTTCAACACGGGGTGCTTAACATTGAAGATAATATATATTATATTTCCAAACACTCCAAGTTATCTTTGCAAATCTTAAATTTATAACTAGAATTGCTTTTTAATGTTCTTAATTTTAATACTATTTGGAATCTATTTTTTTTTTTACAATATCAATAAAAATAGTTTAGGTGTTTAAATTAAATATTATTCCGAAACAAATTGGTTTATGAGTATAATCAAAATAAGCTTTACTCAAAGTAGTAGTATATCAGTGATAATTTAAAATACCCCCTCAAAAGAGTATTAATAAACATATAAACATCAGCGGCTACAAGAAGAAGGCTTGGCCGAGAGCTTTCTCGCTCGGCACTTCTTTGGGGTCCGCTGCTTTTGGCTTTTACATTTCTTCGGCGACCGCTGACCAAGCTGGTCCAGGTCCAAATCTCCGTGCGATCGTCTCTTGCGCCACCTCTTTCTCCGGCTCTTTCGTCGTCTCTTTCGCCGACTGCAACGCCATCTCTTTCGCCGATCGCCGCGTTGAAACCTGCGACTCAAACAAGCCGCGACCATTGTTCGCTCAGCACGTGCCGCGCTCCACGAAAAGAAACAGCCGTTTTCAGACTCTTTTTCCACCGTTTACCGCTAGCAAAACAAAAGACTTAGGCAACGAACTTGGTTTTCATTTGGAAAAATGCAGTTGCATCTCTAAAAATACGTTTTTTTTTGAACAGTTAGTGTCTTTATTGAAAAAAGAAAACATGGAGTTACAACTTGTGAAAAACATGTGCTTTTCCTTGTGAGTGAGCGTGTGTGTGTGCAAGCAATCAATCAATCAAACAATCATTGCTGGCAGAGCTGGTTATTGCATACCTCTCGAGGAAATGCTGTGCGGTAAGTTCTACAGACTAGAACCAAATTGCATGGAAAAGAATTTTAATAGCGAAGTTTATTTTAAAATTTCAAGTTAAAAAAAAAAATAGAATAAGAAAACATACATGGTTAAGTTAAACTATAATAGAGAGCATGATTTTGTGCTTAGCATAAACAATTAAAAGTTGTGTAAAAAACTGATATAGGAGTATTTTTTTTTTTTAATAAAAGATAGTAATAACTTAGTTGGTCAAACAATTGTTAAGGTGCATTTTTAAAAACCATTAAATATGTTGCCAGTTTTATGGTATGTTATATTATAGTTATAAATAAATAAAAGCTTAGATTCTTTTAGCTTTTGTTGTTGGACATTTTAGAACCAGCCTTTTGAAGTTTATTGAGCTACACTAATGCTCTCTTTGCAATATATATGCAACTTTTATATCAAAGAATTATGTATTTAAAAATCTCTAGTATTTATAGAGACAAACCATTTTATATGCAATTGCTTATTGATTGCTTAGGATTACCTTTTTAAATCGAAGACCAACTTTCTTTAAGAACATAGCCAGCTTAAAAATCTTCCGCACCGCAGGCCATGGCAAACGGGCTCGAAATAGTCGATCCACGAATTGTTGATGACTTTCTCCGCAAGACACGACGTATCATCATTTGCCTTGATTTGCCTAAGTTATACAACCCTTTGGGTTGGCTCTGATTATACGACTTGCTGCGATAATTACGACGGGCGTTGGTGTTGTAACCGCCGAATACCGTACGCCGAATGCGTTTATGTGCAACGTACCGCCATGCCATTCGGTTCCACAGCGAGTGCCGTGATAAATGAACGGACCAGCCTGGCCATATCCATATCTCTGTGCCCATATCCATACCCAATTCCACTGACGTGTGCGGCGTAGAATCTGAAAGAAAAAAAAACAAAAAAATGGGTAATAATAAAAGCGCATAAAATTGTGTTTTGTTTCGGAGTTGCACACACACACACCCCGATTTCCACTTCGGAAAACTCGCTCATTATTGCATGGCAATTACTAAGCTTAATAATATTTCTTGCATTATACGTATATGATACTCTATTTTCTGGGTATTTTCTTTCTTAATACAAATTTGTAGTATATTTGACAATTTTTGTTGAGTTTTCCAAGTTGATGTTATTTAATTTATGTTATCAATTTGAAAAGTAAAAAAACTAATAGAAAAAAAAATTGTTAAGTTTCTTGTTTAGCAACTTTCAATCCAAGTCTTATAACAAGTTTTCAAAGCCCGTAAACGCTCTGTAATAATTTCGTGGGATATATTTTCAAGAAAAAAATTTCTAAATTTGTAAGGGTATTTTGATATTCGACTTGCTTTAGCTTTCTTTTTCACACTTTACTCACCATTATTTTTGATTGTTTGTTGCTGGCACATTTTCGGTTAATTCGATTTCAATTTGGCTAATAATTCTGTGACTGATTTCGAAGCCAGAGCCAATCAAATGAGATTATCTTCTGGACAGAAAGATGTCTGGATTTCGCTCCGATTTTTGATTCATTTCCGTTCGTTCAACTCGCTACTTGCAAGTATATCGCAAGACGAACGCAATGATTGCCAGACGCTCATTATTTTGCGGTATTATTTATTTGTGTAATTTGTGATTGCTTTAATTAGCAACGCTTTTGCTGATTTCCAAAGGAGTCCATCTAAAACTAAGCTAAAAACAAGGCAAAAAAAAAAAAAAACATCACAACCAAGAAACGGCAAAAGAAAAAGTGAAATTTCTGGGGGAACTTGTTTGCTCTAGAGGGGCGAGTCCACATACCCTCCTCCGATCCTTTTGCTTTCGTTTGCCCAGACTCCAGACTCCAAGGCGCTGGCTATATGTATGTATATATCGTATACTTTGATATATGCTTACATCGATGCGGTCAACAACCGGCTGGCGGTTGCAACTTTCCACCAATGTCTATTATTAAGGCAACCGTTTACATACGACATATTTCGCTGCGTTTTCATCTTTTCCATGTTTTCCATCGCCTCGAACGGGTTTCCCGCCTGTCGGTGTTGTTTGCTGTTGTGTTAAGCCGTGTGTCGTGTGGTTGTCGCCAATCGTAATTGGTCATTTGTCCAAGTGCTCCCAGCCCCAGCACCAGCCCCCGTTCGATTTGGCCAAGACCTGCACGCATTTGGTCATTAGCAGAGTGCAGAAAACCGCCGAGGGAGAGCCACAAGTCCACCAAGTTCATTGATGTTTGAAAGAGTCGTTAATCCATGTGAACGATATCCATTATAAGCCACTTAGGTTGTGTACATAAATTTACAATGAATTGTTAAAATGACTTATAGGAATATTCATTTATTTTGTTTCAATGTAATATCGTAAATGACACCTTAAAGTTTTAAAAAAATAGTAGTTTCCTGCCTCTAAATGCTTTTATCAAATGTAGATGCAAAGGTATTTTATAAAATTTTAAATGAATTTATTTATTTGTCATAATAACAATAATCTCAATTATATTTATACTTTAAGCTTGTTCTTTTATCAGTTATAATTCTTGAAATGTACTTGTTTACGTATTTAAATTATACGAATGTGATTTTGATTAAATGTTAACAAACGTATGTATTTATAAAAATAATTATTATAGATGTTCAAAGATTCCTTTTTAAAATTAATTTTATCCTTACTTTGCGTTATATTAAGTTTTTTTAACAGTAATGAGACTTTAAATTTACTTTAAACTAATTTAGATTTATTTATGGATTTGTATTTTATAAAATTATGAGAATGCAGTGGTGTTCAGCCTTTAAAACTATAGCAGTTTCCTCCATAACATTACCACAGATTTTCCTACTTGAAGCTTCGAGTATGTTGTTCGTTTCAATGTTGGTGAAGGGTATTCTGCATATGCATATTTGCAT